CATTATGATAGATGTAATTATATTTAAATTGAGTTTTATACGTCTTCCTTTTACAACCAAGTTCTTTGGCTTATTTCAACCTGACAGATCTAATGTTCGACCTAATGTTCAAGTTGTTATACTTAAACAAAATCCATATGATTAGGATTACGTTCTTATGTAGAAATATCTGTTAATTCTAACAGAAATAAATTTAAACAGTGGATTGTTATAGCGTGTGGTAGGCGGGCAAAGCGGGGCACACGGGCGCCGCCCGCCCGCAGGCGCGCTTGCTCCGAAAGCGCCCGAGGACTTACGATCGTTTCGTTCCGAATCGTAACGAAGTTCGACGATCGCGACCATCCTCCGTTGACGCGTGGTGGAGCCAGTCGCAGCAAGGGCCGCCAGGGCGTTGGAGCGGTTCAGTGTGTGCCTAGTGTTCGGTTATGTAACTAAAAAAACTTATTTATTTATTAACTCAAACAAATCGCTTCGAGAGTTGACCGTAAGCGTAACAATGACCGATTGATAAATATAATTATTTCTCGTTGTCACAATATATAGATTATGGAAAAAGTGATGTATGTGTACGCCTATTCTCGCAACGATTGAAAGCTTGTACCGGTTCATCGTTTGGTAAAAAACCATTTGCATTTCTTGCACATTCACATGACGTTGTCCAGTAAACAGATAAAACACATATAATGTCATATTATCGTAGATTTTGACTAGCTCAGTGTTGATGTGATAATAAGGCAGATATTTCAAATTGTGATAGAGGTTAACATTGTTATTTAAACAATTTCACAACTAAAACATGATAAACGTGGTTGATTTAGAATATCGGATTTATCCATTTATCGGCAATCGGCTAAACAATGTGACACTATATATTAGTTAGGGGTCGCGCTTGTCGTTGTTGTTCCAATTAAAAGAACAAATGGAATCAAACCAATCTGAATTTGGCGCAATGCAGGGCGCTTGGATGAAAACGTCCACGTAGTTGCGGTAATTAGTTTAAAATATATTGGGAATTATTTGATGAATTCAGCATTGAATGCAATATCATTTAGAGTAGTGTTACTTAAGGTATTATTCTATTTATTCGATGCCAAATAATCTAGAATTACTGCAATGAAGAACCAGCTCAGTAAAGTTTCCGTCGGATACAATGTTTCAGATGAAATATTTTTTTTTATAATATTATTTCCAACCATCAATCTTGAACGCAGTGTTATAAATCTAAACTGGGATAGGAATATGCATTACAGATAATTAAAAATAAAACATTAATTACATTTTCCATATTCAGCGCTCGTTGTCCTAAAATCAATTTGTAGTATTGTTTAAAGCGCCTCAACGGCTGCTGTTATTGACCTGAAATGAAAATTGTTTTTTTTTCGTTTATCATTGAGTACCTGCACATTAAGAGATGGATTTACAAGTAAAGTTAGTTAGTTGATAGTGTTTTATTTGGAGCATGTAAAATAGTATGTTTGCTTTTAGCTTAGAAAATGTTCCCCTTAGTGTAAAGAAAAGGAAATATTGAAATTGATTGAAACTGTGTCATACGAAATGGCTCAACGAGAGCAATTTATCAGATCCAGTTGGAAATTAAAAGCCGTTAACGGTTCGCTTTCATCTTGTTTTGTTTAGTGATTTGGTTTAGATGTGTTTTGATCACAGATTAGATAAATAATTGTCATGCATTAATCCAGTGGCAACTGACTCTATGCTAATTAGAGTTTTTGTTTATTGTTCAGGAATACTGAATTTAATTACCATTAGCGGGATTACGGTGGTTCTTATTTGATTAAATATTTATTTGTTTTCAGGGGGAGGGACATCACATCACTTAATTCTGGAACTATTTTATAATTATGAACTTACCTTAACAAGAATAGAATAGGGGAATATGTACAAATGGCAGAGAAATCTTATTTCATTTTCCAATTTTAATGCGTTAGCATGCAAAAAAATCTTAGATTAATGATATGGAGAATATTAAATCTTCAAATTATTATATTAAGAATTATGAAGGGCCCAAAAAAAAACAAATATTATTTCTTATCTTTATCACACGTCATCAGTTTATTATTTTCTCGTGGGAGAACCATTCTTTAGCGCATACTGGTCAGGCTCTACCGAAGTGAGATGAGATGATATAAGGCCTCGCAGCACTTCGTACGTTGTTTTTCACCAAGTGAGTGAGGTTCCAGGAGCCCAATCCCCCCCTCTCCCTCCCCTTTCCCTGAAAATGGGCGATGAACCCAAATGGCGGCAACGCACTTGTGGCTCTTGAGTTGCAGGTGTCCATGGGCGGTGGTAGTCACGTACCATCAGGCAAACCATCTGCTCGTTTGCGTCCCTACACTATTTAGTTAGTTTTTAGTTTAAAAAGATAACTGCCGCAGTAGGAATATATCCTGTGCCGCGTATATATTTACAAACATACATAAAACGGACACAAAGAACACCTAGACTCAAAACAAAAATTTAGTAGTAGTGTGCGGCGTGGCGACCGCTTACACCGCTACGCCATCCGTGCGGTCCAAAAAATAATAACACATCCGTTGAAGTAATATTGTTATTAAACATCCTCGGTCCAAGTTTCAATATCTGTATTGAAAAACTCTGACTAGCAACTTCGTGGGGACTCTTCATTGGAGTTGCTTGAGACAAAATCTTCAAAAAATGTATAGTTAACGTGTTGAAAAAATCAATTCTTTTTGTTTCTAGAAAATTTTAAATGGACCTATATTTTTCTTTTCTTGAAGTGAACGATTGATTTCTTTCGATAAATGGTCCAGTGTTGTTCCATCAGAGACGGCTCTCACTAAATAATGATTACTGTCATAAAAAAGTATATATAGTGAACCATCACAACCAAGGTTCTTGACTAAGTTTTAATCGTATATTGAACTGTATTTTTACTCAGTAGACACTAATGTTTATGCAAGTAAAATTCCAAGCGGCACATGACTGACTGATTGTTATTTATTTAGCACAGTAGGTCGAGATAGTCTTTTAAATCTTTTTCTTTCTTCATTTTTTAAAAAGACAAGTATTTAAATGATTTAAAGGTGAAAAAACTGTTTGTTGTCAAGGTTGAAAAATATGATTTTGTTCATGAGCAAATCAAATTCCACCTTCAGCAACATTTTGCCTGCAGCACCTGTAACCACGACAACAACGTAGAATGTATTCTAAAATGTCAGCTATGGTAAAATGTATTTTGTAATTTCTATGGTAAATTATGTCCTAGTAGTTCTTAAACCTTTTCAATAATTAAAAATTGAGGCCACTAGATGGGGCCGTACGATTGGCTCTCTACACTTCTAATATAATTTCCACAATATGATCTCAACGAGCAAGCCAAAAAAATTCTCTTTCTACTTTTTTCTTGCATAAGAATATAGAAGCTTCATTTTATTTTGTAGTTGCAATACAGGGCAAGGAGGGATATAAAAAACCGCTTAAAAATATAAGCGCAAATAAAAAAATACAAATACATACATGGGAATAGAAATTCATATTACATGCCGATGCACTAGTAACATTTCATGTCAAAAAATAAGTAATCTTACAAAACATAGTAGGTGTTCATTTAGATAAATTAGGTATTATACCTTCAAGGGAAGGTCGATTTACTACACATATTCTTGAATAAAGAATATCTAAAACAGTAGCCAAATTTCCTTTGAAATGTAATAATTTCTATCTGATTTCACTAAATCGCATCTACTCTGTTTTATTATACGCACAAACTTGAACGGTCACCAGTTTACCGGTAATCAGTCTCACAGAAAGCTAAATATTATATACCAATAGATCTGTCCTTAGAGTCCTAAATCATAATCCTTTAGTTAACGAACCCATCTTGTGACCCAACACATTGAAGGTTTCGTTGCCATAATAAGTTCTAAAGTTATTATAGCAGGGTAGAAGCTTGTCGTTATTACGTAACTGATGACCGTGATATTTGAAATTTATTTTTATTACAAAAATGTTATTTTTAATAATACTCATTTTTTATAAAATAAAATGGTTCTCAGAATATAAACAACTGACTAACTAATGAAATAATATTGATATAATTTGATAATAAAACTATATATTCCATAGTCAGACACGATGTCGCTTGCTGTGGTGTGTCACGCCCTACTTTACTTGAAAAGATTGCGCCAGCTATTAGCGTAATTAAAATGCTACCAAACTAGAAAAAGATTCATCACTTTTATACCGTGAATAACCGGCTTTATATTCAGTTCAAATATACATTTACGTCGAAAATGTGTACTATGTGTTTTAATGTTTCAATATAAATAGAGAAATAATTTACTATTATTATATACATAATTGTAAACTGGTATCGGTCTTTAAATTTGTGAAATAAGTTCTATAAAGAAAATACTTGTACTGACACAATGATAACGTCTCTGTCAATTCCGTGAACAAACCACTTCAAACGCAGTGTTTATCGGCATTTTATTACGAACATCGGCCCATTTACTTATTATTATATGCCAGTGATCTAAGGCATATTTTCTATTAGGTATTTTATGATAATTCACAATTGAAAGCATTTATTTATTATATTTTATACACCTCCGACCATTTAATTATATTTGACAAAATTGTAATACAATTTCCAAAAGATGTCATTTATTATCTGCCTTTTATCACATTTTAAACGAATTTTAAATTTGATTATTAAACTGAACGATGAACGTAGATTAACTTCATATAAGCGTTACAAAGTGCATTAATTTTTTTTTAATCAACGAAAGTTATGTTATAGAGCCTCAAGACATAAATTGTGAGGTGTTGAAAGCCACAAACATAAAAATAATAAAATGGATACAAGAGTGACTAATTTAATAACATGATGTGCGAGATGTAACTTCAGTCATCATTCATTATTGAAAGTGGGTTATAGACGAAAGCGAAGGGTAACGGACGGTGCCGGATACGTGATGAGGTGACGTTCGCGCACCGGCCGCTGACGCCGCTCCTCGCCAATGATGGTGGAGACGCACCGTGCGCCGCCACCTCGATGTGCGCGTGCGCTCGAGCCTCGCACCAAGCCCGCTTCAATATCAGCACCTCCCTCACTAGCTGGTAGCGGGACTGTGATGCACCTTCGTCGCCGGCGACATAAGACTGTTCACTTTGGCGAGAATCTTCTGATGCAAGTTTGCGCCGATCGAGCTCACTTAGCAGCACTTGGAGCTAGAGTACCTGATATTTCATTTTGTCATAAAGCACATACAGGCCTTCGCAAGGGAGATGCCAGGTTTTGTTGTGTTGCTCACCATTGTTGCCTGGCAGCTGGAGCTTTAGTGGCATTAACGTCGAATGGTCGACCAAAGCCGCGCAGGGAACGGAGCGGAGACTCTCATTCAAGTGGCGGTGAAAATGTAGACAAAGGGGAGGGGGGTGGCGGTTTAAATTCAAAGGAGCCTAAGCGTAAATCTAAGCATCATCATCACCATCATCATCATAAAGTTCACAGTTGTCCTTATCATGATGTAGCACCTCCGCCCGAAGACGAACCTGACGAAAAAGCCATTATTCCCAAAAAAACCGTGTCGCCTTATCTCTTTATACCTAGTAAATTAGAGCCAAATGTACAACAGCTATTCAGCTTTATAGAAAGTGTTCTCAGTGCTTGGGCTGCTGAAGAAGGCCTGACAAGTACAGGCGAATATTCTGAGCCCGATGAGCGTATAGTGCGACGGCGTAAACTGAATAAATACAAGAAACGCACAGATGTACTTAATATTCGACGGATTGTATATGAAGTATCTATTCTTCATGGCACAAGACTACTTGGCAATGTTAGGTTTCGTCATTACCATTGGAAAGGAACTGCACAAACCTGCAATGAAGCATTTCTTAGGAAGGTAAGAAGTTAGGTCTTAATTTGTCATAACAAAACCAAGCGATATAGCCTATGCAGCTTGAACAGGGAAATAAAAGAAACCTAGGAATGCCTCAATCGAATTGATTGAAAACAAATTTTATTACAATACTAAGTATAGTCTAAGCTATTACGCCTATTCCACACAGGCACCAGGTACCTAGACACGCATTTACATACACAGACACGTAAGTTAAACCTAAAACAATGAAGGTAAACCCCTCCTTTTTTATCGCTGACTGAATATTAGCATGAATACATAATAACTTAACGAATTAATTCTATGGTAAAACATTGGAAACTCAAACAAAAACCTTTTTGATTTTGATGATTATTCAACGAAGCTTTTTTTATAACCTTACATATTACTTCGATCGAAGCATTCTATTCATCATCATCATCAACAGCCTTTAATAGTCCACTGCTGGACATAGGCCTCTCTTTAGAAGAGAGGTTTATATAGCATTCTATTAATTGAATAAAATAAAACTTTCAACGCTATTATATGCTTAAAATGAATCAAGGAGTTAGAATTAAACCTTTCAAATTCATTGTAGATATTGTTCATCGTCACCCTAATATTAATAATACTTTTTAAGATTTCCATTTCAACCATGAGTCCTCTGCTTCTGTAATTTAAGATACTTGTTCTATTCGTATTTATTTTCCTGGTCAGGCTGTATTGTTCTTTTAAGCATTATTTATATTTTCAGTAAAATTTGTAATTCTATAATTTCGATGCAGGTAGTCATATAGAAGTATGGCCATTAACACGTGTTTATATCGTTACAGCGATATTATATTTATTTAAAAAATAATACAAACATTGTATCGTGGATTAAAATATTATTCTATTTAATTTTCCTAAAAAACATTGTCCAGATTTTTCAAGGGCTGTTTATAGGCTTACCGATAAACGACATTTTATTATTTATATATATATATATAAGTAAAACTAGGATTAGAGATTAAAAAAAAACATTACATACAACATACTGATCACTTAAAATGTTTTTTTTTTAAATCTCTAATCCTAGTTTTACTTTTAAATAACAACACATCAGAAGAAAAACTGTAAAGATATCTAATATTTTGACCTTATTTTAGTTTCCCGTTAGTGGAAACTGCAATTTCCTTTTTGCTAATGAGGGCTTTTATTTTCTTTACTCTATTTGAGATGCTACTCTATATAAACGTTTCGTTAGTATCCTATTCTTCAACTAATAACTATTGTTGTTTTGCATTCTAGCTTTAGCATAAAAGACTTTTGTATGCAAGTTCAAAATTTGATATGTCAATATGAAATCCTCAATCCCGGGATTCTATAGGTTTTAGATGTTATGTATACCAACAGTATCATCGTCATCCTATAATAGCCCTCTCCTGACAAAAGTGGTTTTGGCCTACTATACTACGCTGGCCAGACGGGTTAGTATAGGGTTTGTGTCAAGTTTTCCTTCTCTTTGCAGTGCTGTTGTCTGCGTAGTTTACTCTCTTAGTCGGCTCGTAGGGCACCCACAAAATGAATAGGGATGGTGACACTACGCATTCTTAATTAAATTATGGTATGTGGTGACCAATTAAAATAAACCAATTAAATTAAATTAAAAGTAAAATCAAATTTCACTTTGACTTGCAGCTTTTAAATACATTTATGTTAGAAAATAATTTCTTCAACTAGTTAGCATGAAAAGTAATGAAATCGATTGATTTGAATAATTCCGATTAACCTCGTTATCGTCCATAACTTTATTGAAGATCATATTAATAAGCTGTGTATTACGCTAACTATGGCCAAGTGGAAGTTTGTTTGAAACTTGCAATTCCCAGTTAACTGAGCAGGGTGCAATTTAGAATTAAACCTAGATAGATTCAGGATTGCCCGTAGTGAGCTTTGAAGTGACAAAAAGGAATCAATACTAAATGCAATTTAATTTAATGCGGTTCTATCAAAAGTCTCGGCCCTTGAAATTTGTATGCAAGTAATACTGACTTCGTATAATTTTGTGGTTGAAATAGAAAATAAATTTGTTTACCACTAAATTATGAGTTATTGCGCTGGCTCGTGATTGAAAAGTACGAATAAATTATTGTATTAAATGAGTAAGAGGAACGGATAGGCACATAGGTATATGCTTGTCTCATTTATTGTAAGTTTTATAAAGGTGAAGAAGCAAATTTTTTTCTTTTAATCGTGAAAGGCGGTGGCGAGGGCGCAACGCGTCGTCAAGAGTCATCGAGCCGAGAGCGCGCTACCTCGGCCGCATGCGCCTCAAAGCAACCCTTTTCTTGTTATATTATGTTTTGATAATCACACAATAAAAGCACATGAGAACAGCGATATTATTATTTAGAAAAATATATTATCAAACACTACATTAAACATCTTGTAACTGGACTGACTGTCAATTTTTGTTGTTATTGAAAGGGGAATAAAACGAAAAGAATGATAAAAGTTTAGGGTAAAAATCTCTCTCAAGTGCCATAGAGAGGCCAATAACCATTCAAGTGATTAAACTAATACCCTTGAATAGTGTTATAAAAGCTTAATTGTATTTGTAGTAGGTTTTCTTGCTGTCCAGTTTCTTTTTTAACCGACTTCAAAAAGGAGGAGGTTCTCAATTCGATTGGTATATTTTTATGACGTAACGTCGACGTATTGATGTTTTTTTTAATCGAAACGTATTTTATGACATTAAAAGTTCATCGAATATATAAATATTACTATATAAATGATTCCAATGTTTTTTAATTATAATTGGATTATTAAATTACCTTAAAAAACATATACAGAACTAAATTTCAGAAAAAGTAAAAAGTCTCATAGAGCACTCAATCCTACCCTTTGCGCTACTGCTCTCTATCTATGTAGCTACATATACCTGAGAGGAAGGTAACAATTTTCAAAAGTGGAAACCAGGTTGGGGTGGGAGTGAGAATTATGTTATGCCGTAAATCCAAGCTTGAACTTTTTTTGTTTTGAAGATTTATTTTATTTACTTATTTATATCTTTATTGTTTACAAATTAGCACATAAGACATTACAAATATATAGACTTAACAATCGGCGGTCTTATCGCTCACGGCGATCTCTTCCAGACAACCTTGATACGGATATTTGTTATTTAAAAGTTGATTTAAATGACGTCTAAAACTGTGCTTGTTTCTGCATATGTTTTTGCAGTTACTAAGACTTTAAATTTCAAGCTGTGAAGTAACTAAAAGAGAATTTGTGTTCGAATACATTATTATTCTTTAAATTATTTTTAAAAACTGACTATAAACACGAGTTAACAGTATGATTTACGAAATACGAAATTACTGTGATTTTCTTTTTAATGGGTTGCATATAGGTATTGTATGGGGCTCACTATTGTAGTCATCCCAAAAATATCACAGATATGAATACTAACTGTATTATTAATTTTGTACAGATTTCGGATGATGATCGAATGTCTCTAACAACGGCAGTGTCAGACGAAGAGGATCCCGGTGAAAGCGCGATGAACTCTCCTTACAAGGGAAAACAGACTGGCGCCGCGGCTGCCTCCTTTAATTGCACAGGGGCCGTCAGAAAAGCCGGGTGAGTAAAAATTATCTATTACACATCACACGTATACATCATATACATAGAAATCAGGCTCCTCCACATAATTAAAATGTATAATTTGTGTGTAAAATATAGCCAAATCACACAGTAATTTTCTAAGATTTTACCATTTATCGAAATATGATAATAAGAACAAATATTAATCATTGAATTTGTTTCTCATTACACTTTAAACACATATAAACTTTATTACTATCCACGTTTTTCTTATTATTTTATAAAATAAAACTACACTGTGGTCTGACACTTTTACACTGTGACCTTATACTTTAATTACGCAACTGAAATTATATTGAATGAAAATTATATGATAACCAAATGGTATTACGTTAAAATATGTTTTAATGAGATTCTTAATTATCGGAATTGTAACTTCTGTGACCCTACTAAAGTATTGGAATTAATTAATGTTGAGTTATGATCTCACTTTTATTCAAATAACTAAAATCGGAACATTGAGGAACTTCGTTTTCGGAAACCATTGGCCTTACTTTTCATCAATTCTAATTTATATGTAACCGAATAGCTTTTTATTGAATTAATATTAGATATCATTCTTGGAAATTAATTAAAATAATATTTTTTATGTGAGTATTTTGTAAGTAGGTTTTTATTTTTTGTAATATATCAGAAAATTTCATACAGGAAAAATCTTTAGACGTCAAAATAAACATATGATAGTTGTCAAGTTGGTGAGGTCAGATCTAAAACGGATCCGTAAAATATCGTACAAGATAAGTATAATGATATATGCGTTCCTCCCCCACGCTCAATATAACGTGTACCTAAACATGACTCATGTAAATCGACGTAATATATCATGGGACTAAGTTATTTTGTTAGAGATAATATTTCAGGGCGGTCACTGAGTTATTTGGTTAAGTCTAAGAATATTTATAACAAGAAATTTAGATGGTAAGTATATTACTATAGCCTGGGTTATTTTATCCCGTTCACATTATTTATTTTGTCACTGTAAAGAGACAAAAATGTTGGTGAACAAGCATATGTCAATTAGGATATATCTTAATTAGGATTAATTTTATAAATACTAAATAAACTTAAAACTCTAATTTTTTATAGTTTAACATGTAAGAAACAATACTTGTACAAATTTTACATGTATAAGATTTAACAAACAACAAAAACGTCTAAATTTGTCAATATCTATACTAATCCCAACTCTGTCTCCAAAATGATATTTTAACTGTATATACTATAGATAACTTACATAAAAAAGTAAATATTATTATACTATCAAAAATGTACATTATCATGTTTTTTTTTTCTTTTTGAGTAAGTATTTAAACATGTGCTTAGTCAGACACTCTTGCCATAGTGGTCGTAGCTGTTGATGGGCTACTACTCGCTGGGGTTGCTACTCGCCGTCGCCGCTCACTTTCATGGCTGCACGTCTTGCAATGATCCTCCATTTTTGTCGGCTTTTCGCATTGCGAACACATTGTATTGCAGTCGATTCGGTGGTAGCTATGATTATGTCGATCCAGCGGGTTGGGGACCGACCCCGTGGTCTTGTACCCTCCGTACGGCCTTGCACTTCAAGTCTCTCCATCGAGTCCTCTTTTCTAGAGATGTGCCCAAAAAACTTCAGTAACCGTAACTGCACAATCGACGATAACCTATTTCGTATGTGAAGCTCTTTGGGGACTAAGTTATTAGTGCGGCACGCTGTCCAGGGTATATTTAGCAGTCATCTCCAGCACCACATCTCTAAGGCATCGATTTTTTGGGGATTTTGTTTTCTAAGAAACCAGGTTTCAGCCCCGTAAAGAAAGGTTGGAAACACGAGGCACGTCCTTTGTGTTCTTGGTAATTCTCATGTCTTTCCTAACCATTCTACTGCTGACCTAGTGATGGCGCATCTACGCTTAAACTCGTCTTCGCATCGTCCAACGTTCGAGATAGTTCAACCAAGGTAAATAAAATTGTATATGGTACTAATATCTAACAAAATATTGCACGTTATGCTGCAATATAATACTTTTCTAAAGTGTATGTTGAAAATTAAATACACGACAAAGAAATAATCATCTATTCTAGCGTATTACAAAGTCCATAATCAATATATTTATTGTTTACATCGCTGCACTTGAGCGCCTGCAGGTAAACAAAAGTTTCCAGAGTCTTTTCAAAAAGTTTTAATAAATGTAAGTAAAGCAAGAACCGAGAGAAGGAAGGATTAGATCGTGTTGTTCGTGTACTGACGGGTCTTCTAGTCTCTATTAAGAAAAGCCTACGGCGTCCTTTATGTTCCTTCAGGCTACGATTACTCTTCCATGAATTGCAAATGACCGGAGGGAAATCTTAGCCGTGACCTATTCAACTCCATAAAGCGTATAGAGTAGACTTATTCCAGTAGGATGATACATTTTTACAAGACATAAAGCACATTCTACGATTAGGATGGCATATAACTCTTAATTTTTACAATTGATTCGGATATAATTATCAATTTTGTACTTTTCTTTTGTTCTAATTCTTTAAATACTCGTATTCCTTGGATTTTAAAATAACTTAGTAGATCCAACCATCCGATAACTTTCATAAGCTTGGCTTATATTCATGAGATTTTGTATAAGATTGTCAGAAATCGGATTTTTAAAGTAAATACGCCTATAGACGGTGTAACTGCCCACCCCATATACATATATGTGTGTATGCAAGTATACATGTATTCTATACGAACCATGTCAATAAATAGAAATACATATGATACAACTTTACCCATATATGTATGTTGATCTGTCAGAGTGCGGCAAAACTTTACAATTATACAATTATTTCCTTTTGACATTCATCCACCAGGCGATCTGTAGTATATCTCATATCTATAAAAGAAGAAACTGACAGACTGTTTCACTGACTGATCGATCAACGCACTGCTGAAACCGCTGCGCCCAGAAGCATGAAATTTTGCACAATTTTTTTATTTATTTTTTATTTTATAGAAAGGCAACTCCCGCATTAGGAATATATCCTGTGTCGCGTGGGACTTTACAAACATACATGAGACGGACACAAAGAACACCCAGATTTAGAACAACAATTTGTGGATCACACAAAGTGTCGTCCCATGTGGGGTTTGAACCCACAACACTCGGCGCAGTAGGAAGCGGCGACCGCTTAAACCACTGCGCCATCCTTGCAGTCAAAATGTTCCTTAAGTGACGTAGGTGTGCAGTGTGCACTAAGGAAGGATTTTTTTTAATTGCAACCCTAATTGTAAAAAATTGGGGTTGAAAATTTATATAAAACTTTTTTATTTTTGGTAGTAGCGTTTTCAAACTCAGAGTATTAAAAGTAATAAAAACGTTGCTACTATTTTTTTAAACTACCCTTGTGCAAGTTTTGTGTGGGGAACTATTTTTTTTTACTTATCGATATCCAAACTCTCAATATAATTTCATTCTCTAACAAGAATAATAATCATTATACACTTATTTTTTTAACTCTTCAAAACATAAGTATGTTTGTTACTCAATCACGCCAAAACGGCAAGATTATAGCCTAGAGGCTACTATTTATCCCGGCCAAATTTATTGACGAAATTAACATTGACACTATCTAGTAACCTATTTTTGATGAAAATCAGCTATTTCCGTGTAGCCTTTAGTTATTTTGAGGTAATCATCTTAGAAAAACAAATTGGTGCTCACGTAATTGTATTTACCAAAAACCTGCAACATCTTGACAATATATAATATATATAATATCTCATGAGAAAGGAGTTCAAATCAATTGTCCTAGTTCATTGTTGTCAGATGAATCCTTGGTTGACATCTCTAAGCGACATGACAACGTCATAATACAATAATAAATAATTGCTGTTAAGGGTAAATTGCTGTAAAATTCATGGTGTTTATACATTTATATAGAAAATATCGATCTATAGTTACTAAGCAAAGAAATAACTCGATAAAAATGAGACTTAAGGATGATGAGAAGATCAAAGATAGAAGTGTATCAGAACTTAGTGTGTCAAACACAGAATCGTCGACTTCAACTGTATATCGTATGAGAAGTGACTACAGAATATCTAAACACCGCATGGAAAAACGTTCTCCCACTCCAGTGAACGTTATTATTTGGGCTGTGGAAATACTTGGACAGCGAACGCAAGGAGTACCAATAGAGAAAATAAGATCATTAATCAGACAGCACTTTATACTACCCTGTAAAAGCCAAGATATTGATAAAAGAATCGACATGGCTATATGGTTTGCGGTAAATTTTGGCATTCTCGAACAATCAGAAAATCTTTTTTATTTGAAACCCACAAAAACTCAACAAACACAAAGTGAGCTCAGACTACAATAGAATTATAACGAGGTGTTCATTACGTTGTTTTGTTATAATGTGATATAAATTTGTTGATTACTCTGACATCGTTTTATTTTGATTGTGATTCTCTACTTCCTATACCATGTTAGTATGATGCGATCCATGTGGACCATCTAACATTACGTGAATCTAGCGGATTTCACGGACATACTTAGTTCGGTAAGTGCTATCATAGATAACTGTAGCGTCGATTGTGTTTATATGTTGGGAGATTATAATGCACATCCCACCGAACTGTTTTATAATGAACTTATAAACTTTTGTGCGGATCGGACATGGTCTTGCATAGATATTGATATGTTAGGTTCGTTATCGGAAACATACACATTTTTAAGTGAGTCACACGGTTCTAAACGATGGCTCGACCATTGTCTCGTAACTCAGGCTGCTGTAAAAACAGTTAAGAATGTTTCGGTACTGTACGATGTTCTATGGTCCGACCACTTTCCACTTGTCATAGAATGTAATTTAAATATTTTACCACCAAAACTTTTTAATGTTAGTTTTTCTCAAAATACATCCGTATGGGGCGAAAGAAGTGTACAGGAAATAGAAAGTTACTGAGAATACTGTGTCTTAAGCATACTGTGAACTACTATGCAAAGCGGAACACTTCAGTGTATTGCTGTTTTCTCGACCTGTCTAAGGCATTTGACTTGGTTTCGTACGATATTTTATGGAAGAAGTTGGAAAATTGTGAATTACCGACTCCAATGATAAACACAATTAAATACTGGTATGGTAATACAATTAATAATGTCCGCTGGGCAGGTACTTTATCGCATCCGTATGGGTTGGAATGCGGGGTGAGACAAGGGGGCTTGACCTCACCAACGCTTTTCAACCTGTACGTTAACGAGCTGATCGGTGAACTTAGTAGTGCAAAAGTCGGATGTCATATTGATGACATTTGTATAAATAATGTCAGCTACGCAGACGACATGGCACTGCTAAGTGCGTCGCCATGTGGCCTGCGAAGGCTTGTTCACGTATTTTTGTTGGGACTAATCCCACCCACACGCCCACCACTGTAACTCCTGTGCACCAGGATCCACAGCAGTGACCCACGAACACACCGAGTTATGACACTCGGGAAGTCCCAGGAAGAAATTAAACTGTCTTGGAACCCGCAACGAAATTAATCAGAAGAAAATTGGAGGAGTTGGAAATACAGTAAATCCACTTCCCTCCTTAGCAAAGCGGGAGACAAAATGAAGTAAAATGGGCATACACCCTTTTAAACAGGGAAGCACCACGGCCACAAATATTACGGGTCCTACGTGAGCTATGTTTGATTTCTATAATATGTATGGCAGAATCGCCTAAACGCACGGAAATTCACCCTAGTTGACACAAGATCCCCATAGTATACCGCCCCAGATGTCACCTGCAAGCTATTCAGCATTATATTACGTTCATTATACGAAAGACTACATTCCCAGAGGATATGATGAGCAGACTGTTCATAGTGAGAGTTAGGTGTTGAGCATTGACACAATGGTGACTCGACTAATTTAAATGAATAAAGCTTGCTCTTAAAGTTACCATGACCCGTAAGAAATTGAGCGACACAGTGATCCACCTCAAGCCATATCCTCGACAACCGTTCGCGAACAGATGGAAAGAATTGGTAAAGATGGCGCCCCTTGGATGATTCATCCCAGCGTTGTTGCCATTCGTCTATGAGGTCATTATAGACATCGGGCTGCTGTTGAAGCAATCTTGTAATTTTACCGCGATCCCGCGCGCCCAAAAAATCGCATTCCATGTTTTGTTGTCTTGAATAGTACATGGCTGCACGTCTCTGCACCTCGAGATCGACCGGAAGCACACCCGCCAACACCGGCAAAGCCTCAGTGCTAACCGTCCTATATGCCTTACACAAGAATATCAGTGCAAATCGTTGACCTTGTAACAGTTTGCGACGGACAGCGCCTACGGTCGCCCTATCGGCCCATACAGGTGCACCATAGCACATAGAACCTAAATAAGTAGCTCCGTATATGATCTTTAATGTATTAAATGATAGACCCCATGTCGCAGTTGATATCCTTGTCAATGCACAGAAACTCTTTTTAGACTTTTCATTAACTATTTTAATATGTTCGATAAATGAAAAGTTTCTTTCTAAAACTAATCCTAGATAACACACTGTGGTTTTATTTTTTACAGTAACATTGTCAAATCTAATGCTCGGCGGTGATTTGAGGTTACCTTTTAAAAGTAGCTGGAAGGTTTTGTTGGGTGCAAAAGTTAAGCGATTACGTTCACCCCATTGAGATATCAAGTTCAAACATCTATTGGCTAATCTCTCAAGCCCCGCCCTAGTATCAGAGACTTGTTCACGTATGTGAGAAGTACGCCGAAAGACATGGCCTGGTGTACAATGTTAAGAAAAGCGAAGTCATGGTTTTTGAGGCTAAGGGTGGAGGCCCTAAGGATGTGCCACAGATACTTTTAAATGGGCATCCATTGAAAAGGGTATTTAAGTTTGGATATCTAGGGCATATTTTAACTCCTGGCCTCAAAGACGATGAGGATCTGGAAAGGGAACGGAGGGCGTTGTCGGTGAGAGCGAACATGTTGAGCCGCAGGTTTACACATTGTTCGAATAATGTTAAGATCACACTCTTCAGAGCTTACTGCACGTCTTTCTATACGTGCAGCCTGTGGGCTACATATACTCGAAAAGCATACAACTCCCTCCGTATCCAATACAACAATGCGTTTAGGGTGCTGTTGGGGCTACCCCGCTTCTGTAGTGCGTCCGGGATGTTCGCAGAGGCGCGAGTGGACTGCTTTCACACTATTATGCGAAAACGGTGTGCATCTTTGGTGCGCAGGGTGCGAGCTAGCTCTAACAGCATACTAGCCATGATCACAGAGAGGTTAGATTGCAGGTACATTGGTCACTGCAGCGCCGTCTCTCATGGAGTGCATAAATAAAAATATTAATACTGTAAATTGTCACTACTAACATAGGATAAGTTTTATGTATTACTAACAAGCAATGAGTCATGGTTACTCCAATAATGATTATTATTATTATTAAGGATGTCTATAAGCTTTGACTTGTATTTGTTATTTGATTCATAAAAGCCTATCATACTAACATAAAGCGAAATTTGTACCAGATAGAGGTAAAATCTATAGTAAATTACTGTTTACACCTGATCCCTGAGAGATCATATTAGAATTTTAACATACTAAGTTGTCATCTCTTTCTCCACTACTACTCTAACATTTATAGTTAAATACACGGCCAACACAAACAATCATGAAATTATCCAGCCATTGATCAATATTGTACAATATCAATTAATTATCGGTACTCATATTTGAAACAGGTTTTTAAGCGTAAAGAAATGGTTACTCCGCAAGAAGCACCAGATTGAATTAGCACGTAAACGAGGGTGGAAAGGATACTGGGTGTGCTTGAAGGGAACTACTCTACTCTTCTATCCGTGCGATTCTCGTGAAGGTCGCTCCGTAGAAGCCGCTCCGAAGCATCTAATTATAGTGGACGGAGCCATCATGCAGCCCATCCCCGAACATCCAAAACGCGATTACATATTTTGCCTAAGTACCGCCTTTGGTGATGCTTACTTATTTCAAGCACCTTGCCAGGTAAGCCTAACTTTAAGTAAATAATAGTGTTAGTAAAAAAACAGATTATTTTACTATGAGACATTTAGCGAATAAACCCATGGATCTTTGAATTTCGAATATTTAAAATTAGTCCGGAAAAAAATTAATTAAAAAGTTATAAAAGTTATGTATACGCACTTTTTCTGTAGATAGATATTATTCAAATATTTGGATTGGAAACAAGGTTCGAGCCCGGTGCCCGAACTTTGTTTCCAATAAAGAAAACGCTCTCGTTGTTGATAGAAGGAGTGATCAAGTATACATACAAAACATACAGCGCCTTCACAACTACTGCCCTACAGTGTGTTTAAAAATGTATTTAACCTTGATAAAAAAATTGATTTTCACATTATTAAAAAAAGTGGCGGTGTATGAGGCACTCATTCAAAGCGTAACTTGTCACATTAGACTTATATCGAGGTATTATAACATCATCTTTAAGGTTCGCCAAAAATCCATTGGCACGAAACCTATTTCGTACAAATCTCATCAAATCGAAACTTCAACCCGATATATTCTATAACCAGAATCGCCGATGTAGGTAATAAGTCTGTCAGGCTAAAGTTGTATTAAGTTGAAATATTTTAAATTATCTGAGTGACAATGTTTACCCTGTTAGCTCTTGAAAAAAACATTGCTTTCAAACTAAAATTGTCCAACTTTAATGAAGTTACTGTCAAGGTTTAAAACTGATTGAATCATCATCATCAACGCGTCAAAAACGTCTACTCACTTGTCGCTGCGTAAGGCTCAGGTGTACTATAAATGAAGCAATAAAACTTTTGCATGTTCTTCCATTTTCAAAGTTTCGAAATATGATACGGCACTTTTAGAGGTTGCCTTTACCCTTATACATACGTTATATACTTTAATAACATTTTCGTGGAGTGTAAGGGTGAGTTTCAAATTGTTTTGCATAAGTTGTACAAATATATAGTATGTCTTAATACAATTTTCTATTAGCTTGATATTAAAGTTTTCGTAATCAATACGTGTGTTATTTATTTTGATATAAGAAATGTAATAACTCATATGTAGGAGTTTTTGATGCTAGTAACATTTCAGATTTAATTTTAATTCTACTCTCCATGGCTTACCTAGTTTATTTTGAGACACATTCAGCGTGGCATTTGTTTTATAGGTTGAGCTTGAAAACTGGGTGAATAGCATACATAGTGCTTGTGCAGCGGCATTTGCTCGTCATCGTGGCAAGACTGGAACGCTTCATTTGCTCCAAGAAGAAATATACCGTCTCGAGAAAGCTATCGAATCGGTAAGGCGTCAAAAATAAGAAATTTAAGAATATATTATGTACCGTCGTCATCAATAAAAGAGACCATTTAATCCTGCTTTATAATATACACTACTGATTTTACTGTGATCACTGCCAATTTATATATTTAATTAAATAACCATATACTTAATTAATAGCATTATACATTACTATTATTTGTAGTATTCTATATATGAACATAGTGTAATAGAGGCAAATCTGCTGAAACACAAAGTGGTTTTACTGTGAAATAGTGCACTGGCGGCATATCGCATCGGCCTGAACTAACAAAGTAACGTTTGATACGATAAATCTAACTATCATAGTTATTTCTATATCGGTAAGACAAAATAAAGGGATTTAAAATTTTGTTTTCTTTTTCTTAATGTTATTTGCTCAACTGTTGTAGAATTTTGTTGATTTGAGTTTACCTAAACTTGTTTGCATTGTCTCATGAGATTGATTGATATTTATATGTTCGGACAGCAATGGCATCTAGTACCATTTGTTCTTACTTCTTAACAAATAAAAAACAAAGGAGTATTTAACCTACTAAAAATTTTATTGCCCTGTTAAAATTAAATTACTTTAGTAAAAGAAACGGTATTGCATTATATTAGTAATTTAGGTCATAAAATGATATAAATCCTGTAACCTCCTTCAATATATGTATAAGCTCTCTAACTAACTGCTCTCTAACTCTATTCTCCTAACTACCAATGAACACATAAAACCGTGTGTAACAATAGCAGGATGGCACTATATCTCCTGCAAGTTATTCTTCAGTAACGCCCGTGCCTACCGTACGTCATTACATATAATTGTACATATATGTTTGTGTACGAAGATCAGTGCCAGCAGCGTGCGGTTCGTAGCGTTCTCCGTGTAAATTGCTTCGATTTCTGACCCGCACCCGGTGACCGCAGCACGCATCAAAGCCTTTGTGGCCACCTCATACTACTACATATTAAACATATGTGAATGTATGCTTCGCTTGGTATATTTGCTATCAACTGTACAGCAAATAAAGGAAATGAAGCTACATTTTGCTACATACATACTACAGTGTCGGACACTTACAGTTTCATGAGAATTGACATTGGTCACAAAGGATTAAAACTACAAGTTTTTCTTGAATTTTGAAATAGTTCTCGATAAGGATCGCAAATGTTTATCTTTATTTACTTATACAGTAAACATAAACTGTGATTTAAAAAGGATTCTATCTCAAATTTTCTAAATTTGCCACGTTAATTATACCTCACAAACTTTTATGACTTTATGAATTTCAAATGTCATTTCTTGTAGCCAAATATTCTAAACAGATACCGTAATTAGGGCAGGAAAACACATGCTTGTAGTTGGTAACAATCTATTTTATCGGCGTGGTAGTTATCAGGCAAGTGGGACCACGCGCTTATTAATATTCATAGCACATGTCATCTACAAGCTCGGTTCGGGGACCTCTCTCTTGTACTATTCAAATACATCACATATCTACACACTTACCCGAAGCTACAATACTTAGAGTAAGTCTTTCAGTTTTTCGATTCAACTGTTTCTATGAACATTACATTTAACATATTTCCTAGGATCACAAGCTGAAGCAAATGGCAGATCTTCAACAATCGGTAGTCTCTGATCCTGACACTCGTGCACAGTTGGCTGGACAAATGCTTCAGTGGGAAGAAAATCTCGAGCGTTTACATTGTGAACAGTTTCGATTGCGTTGTTATATGGCAAGTCTTCAAAGCGGTGAACTCCCTAACCCCAAGGTAAATGTACAACAAAATTAAGTTTTCCGTCTTTCGTAGAAAATTATGACCTTACCTAATGAAGTAGTCACATTTTCATAACTTGTTCGTCCGTTTGCCTTCTACAATTTTATTTGTGGAAAGATTATTTCTCCTCAATTTTTTTGATAACTGTTTGTAGTCAGTGTACATTTATTAAAAGATATGTTTTTTTAAATAATGAATTTTGAGCGCAATATGAATTCAAAATTTATTAGTTTTTTACATTTACCAACTCATATAAATTATATAAAAGAAGACAATACATTGGCTACAGGTAATTTATCACATCATCAAATGATTTGAGTCGTGGAGTAACAGAGATAGGAAATTTGTTGATTTAGCCATTATATTGACAGTTCCGTTGACCGGGGGAGCTGGGCTGAAATCTGTTATACCGCGACCCGTGTCACTGGACGTCATAATGGGCTCGACATGCGAATAATAAAAATTGCTCACAATTTTGCAAAGATAAAATATCTGACTATTCTTGATTTTTCTTGTTCTTTCTTATATTAATATCGTATATATAAAACAGCTTTACAGTTAAGGGAAAATACACGAATATAATATGTAGCCATAACATTTAGAACATCATCATCATCAGCCTATCGTAGTCCACAACTGGAAATCATATGCCTTTAGAATATATCGACACGTAAACATTACGACGAAGTTCCATCCAACGTGCACGCCGCCTCCTTTGTGCGGTACCCGCGTATGGCTCTAACCGCCAATATCCTCTGAGGGCGCCAGGGGCGTACCCTATTCTGGGCGGTCAGAACCACCGCTCACACCGCTACACCGTACAGTGACATTGACTGGACAACCCCCGTGTACAGCCGTCTTATCATGACACTCCTCGTGATAGCTCCACCCTAATTGGGCAAAAGTCGTCCTAGGGCAGAAGCAACGCCGACCAGCTTTACTCCAGGGCACCATATTAAGGCTACTCCACTAATTGGTCATTCCGCTCATAATTTTTTTTTATTAAAATATTTCATTATTACAGTCTAGTTTATAATATTTAAAGCTGTTAAAAAATTCTATTATTATTAGTAGAAAAATAAACCAACTAAAAATATATAAATTAAGTATATTTCAATGAATGGTGAATTGGTAAAAGAGGATGTTGGATTTATAACTATAACATAATTTCTACTTGCCAAAAAGGTAAAGGTATGATTTTATCTGTAGGTAAAAAAATCGAAAGTATAAGCGTTTTTATACAACAGAGTGTCTTTTAATGCAGTCATTGCTGACACACGTGTCCCGCGGCACGAAGACAACTTTGAACAAGCTGGGCGTGTTCACTGTCTCATCATTCCACGCGTTCATCTGTGCGCGATCACCATCGCTACTCAACAACTTGCTGGCAGGTCGTGGTGCTACTAAGCGCCGCGCACCCAATTTATCAAGATCTAATTCCGGCTCTAGTAGGCGATCGATGCAGGTATGTTTATAAACATAGATAAAAACAAAATGAATCTTAACAGAAAAATTATCTGCTTATTCTTATATTAAGTTTTAAGGGGTAAGAGTGCTTAATCATTAGACTTTTTATATAAATTATCTATCGCTCTATTCATCTGCAACCATTACTAGTCAAAAAATTACATAGGTAGTACACTAAAATTTGTTATTTATCTTATATTTGCGGCTTAGCAAAGACAAATGAATTGACATTGGCAGAGGAGTTCCTCCTGAGGGTGTTAAATAGGTTATGATGAGGTTCTGTGATGATGATGAATGATCTGATCGCGGAGCTGGGCAGTACTTGGTGATATATTAATACCTGAGCTATGCTGAATACAATTAAGTTCACAATTTAGATAAAATGCAAAATGAAAATAGTGTTACTCACGTCTAATCCAAAAAGGTAACGAGTTTAGATATTCGAAAAATTCAAGTACTTTCGTCACATCGTAACATCTAGCCTTAATACTGAGGCCGATGTAGAACGACAAAGAAGGTCTCTCTGTTGCGTTGTAAGTAGTAAAAAAGCAATTATTCTTATGATCACGATCGCAAGCAATAAACTTAAGCACTTTTGCAAATGGCAGCTTAAGGTTTGAAATTGTACAGCCGTGGTTTAAAGTCACATGAATACTAACTGTTTTTTTAATGATTAACTACTGCTTGATTTCCTTTATGATCCAGTACATAAAATTGGAATCACCTCTCGTTGCCATTAACAAATGATTTTTTTTGTTCAAAAGAACAATGCGGTGTGCTGACAGTAACCGGCTGTCATAAGGCTGTCACAACTTTAAAAGGTTTAAATTAAGTTCCTCTACTGCCAATCAAAGGAAAAAAACACTTTAATAAATAATTATATCTTTGTTGAAGTTGATGTTTGAAGCAAACATGTATTTTATTATAATATTACTTTTATACGCATTGTTTGTGTTTTTATTGAATTTAATAGGTACATAAATAGCGTACCTGTATTTCTATTGTAAAGTTAATACGAATTCGTAAGCTAGGTACTTATATTCTGTATAAAACTTTTCAGACTTTTTAACGCTTTGGTTACATTAAATGCTCCCTGTATTTCTAAAATTTTAACTTAGTAAATAGTTTAGGAATTAAAACATTCTTGTTTTTATTTTCTACCAAGAAAACAGGCTCCTCTCATAGTTAAAGGTCAGTCATGGAAGGAAAACTGCACGATTTTCACGTATTAGTACTGACAACACGTAACAATTTTAGAGTAAGTAGTAGTTACGTTTTAGGAACAAGTTTTTTCATCACTTTTAATCACTTTCTTATGAGAATAATAAGATTCTTTATAGATTACCTCAACGTCCACATGGTGACTTTAAAACCTAAGTATTATGTACAAGGAAAAAACCTTAAAATGTAAATATTTCAATTTATTTTTCCGTATAACCTTCGGTGCGTAATCTGTAGAAAATGATTTCCCGCGGGATAGGCATTGTGTCGTACGCTGACGATTTTAGGTCTTAATGAAAACCGAAAATATTGTAACGGTTTTCTTATTGTAGCTGTTTATTTCTCGCCGCGTTAGTTATTTACATGAGGTAAACAACTTATTAGAGGAAGGTGGATGTTTGAGGACGCTAAAATACATATAGTCGATAAATAGTTCAGTTCATAGTCAGCATCTATTATTTATTTATTTACACATCATGCACATTTGGTACGTTGGCGGACTTAATGCCTTATATATTATTATTATAGGTGAACTATTCTCATTACATTATTGTCGTGTTGAATTTTGAATTGAATTCATTTTCACGTTAAATTTGGATATTTTGTCAAAAAAATTAAAACTTTATGGATGAAGTTGTGGTATAGATCTACAACTTCATCCATAAAGTTTCCTTTCCATTAAAAATTATCTTTATCATTATTTCATCAAGTTTGTTGTCGTCAGATTTAAAAAAAATGATTTCAGTATTAAATATCACAGTTTTTCTCAAATGCTTTATCGAATTTGTGATTATAATATAACGATATATATATATAAGAAATAATGTTATATAACTTACTGAAAACTTGTGTGACTCCATAAAACGTTGATTTTAGAGAATCCCCATGCAGACAACAGAATTATTTCAGTACCTCCCGCACTCAAGAGATGATAATGTTATGGACGTTAACTTTTTGGTATTTGTAGATATATGTGATATAAGATATATAGTTGCCGGGGGATACTGCTGACGACAGGAATTCTAACCATTTAGTTCTATGTACGGTAAAGGTTCAAATAAGTCGGGAGCGACTGCACAAGAACCGACATTCAAATTTTTCAAATTAAATATGTGCGAACTATATCTAAATATAACAAAGTAGTTTAAACCTATTGATAACAAAATTATTACCTAAACACGATTGAATGTTGAATTTTATCTCTCGACAAGTCGAGAATACAATCCCGTGTTGTATAAAGATTAATGTCACATAAATAACAAAAGGAATCTTTCTTATTGAAAAGGTCGATGTGGCGTGCCCTCTAATCCTCGACGGATACGTAATTCAAAACGACACGAAAAGGGACTATTACGTAGTCGTCATTTGCTAGTCGTCACTGTACTAACCGTCACTAAATCCAGTTAAGTAATTAGTACTCATTTGTATCGAACCGCTGAAACAATTAAATCTTTAAACAGTTGTATTTCATTTACAATATACGAATTCTCTTATAAAACTTTCTAGATATACTCTCGAAAATTGGCGGGTAACTCACATTACCACCTGTCATGTGAAGTCTTTGTTAATTAATCAGCTTCAAGTTCACAACATTCATCATCATCTGTATTCTGCGCCAAATAGACAATCGTGCTTAATTATTCGGGAGACATTTATTGTTATTAAACGATACTGTTGCAAACCCGATACAAAAGATTATGTTTAAAATCTGAAAGTCAGTCCAAGATTCCGTTTTACGAATATCTACAATTTTTGTTACTACATTTAAATGTAGTCGATAATACTTTACTGACTATTGACTTTTTTATTAAATCCATCTTACTAACTAAAAATAAACATATGAACCATTAAAATTAATATAACGATAAACCCACAACCTACACAAACTGCACAAATTAAAATAATATAACTATGCACTTATACATAAAAGGTTCGTTCTACAAGCCCTATTTCTCTTTATTATTGAAACAATAATAAAACATATAAAAGTCTTTTCGAGTAATACGATCGTCACAGTTACTACAATACTTCAGTTTGTGACGTCACAGATTTAGAGTTAAACAAGAACTGAGAGATTATTACAAAATTTTACGACTTCCGAGTAAATAGGTTTGTACTTCGTATAAACAGTACATGCCGCACATAACTTTAAGTTTGTGTTTAAGTCTAGCACTGTGCACACACACATAAAAAAAAACATTTTTTCTTTGTTGCACAATGTGTCATGAATGTAAACATGTATGGCTATTTATGTGCAACAGCTTAAACGCGAACTGCCTTGGAAACGTTCTTTTATGGATCGGTCGATTGGAAACTCGAGCGTCTACATGTATGTAAATTGCGCGCTTTAGAATTATAAAAAGGGTTAAATAAATGTATGGAAGAAGGTTCTAAAACTCTAAAAGAAATTATAGAAAACTATAATATCTATACTGATATCTATATTAATATTATAAAGCTTAAAAGTTTGTTTTTTGATAATAATAATAATATACTACCACATTCACACAACGCCATCTAGTTCCATATTAAGCAGAGCTTGTACTATGCGTAATAGAGAGTACTGATGTAAATACAGATATACTTTTTTTTTGTTAAATACATACATATTATACATAGAAACACCCAGACCAAATCAAACATTAAATTTTCATGCACAGAAATGTTTGACTTGAGCGGGAATCGAACCCGTGACCTTTGTAATAGCAGTCCGTTACACAAATCACTACGCCGTCCAGTCGTAAAGTAAAATATCAAATTTAGGTAAATTGTGTTATTAAATAAATTTAGTAAATTGTGTCTGGCGCCTTCGACAACGCATGGTGGCCCATGCTGTTGCTGAAATTAAAATCAAGGGGGTGCTTTAAAAATATTTATTCCCTTATCTCTTCGTACTTTTCACAAGGTACAACTAAACTAAGACTTGGTCATCATTCTGTGTCGAAGGCGCTTACAATGGGATGTCCTCAGGGATCGGTGCTAGGTCCATACTTGTGGAATATCGGCTTCGACGATTTTCTTGCGATACCAATACCATCCGGATGTACTCTGAACGCGTATGCTGATGACGGCTTATTACTGGTGGAATCTGATACTAGGGCGGGGCTTGAGAGATTAGCCAATAGATGTTTGAACTTGATATCTCAATGGGGTGAACGTAATCGCTTAACTTTTGCACCCAACAAAACCTTCCAGCTACTTTTAAAAGGTAACCTCAAATCACCGCCGAGCATTAGATTTGACAATGTTACTGTAAAAAATAAAACCGCAGTGTGTTATCTAGGGTTAGTTTTAGAAAGAAACTTTTCATTTATCGAACATATTAAAATAGTTAATGAAAAGTCTAAAAAGAGTTTCTGTGCATTGACAAGGATATCAACTGCGACATGGGGTCTATCATTTAATACATTAAAGATCATATACGGAGCTACTTATTTAGGTTCTATGTGCTATGGTGCACCTGTATGGGCCGATAGGGCGACCGTAGGCGCTGTCCGTCGCAAACTGTTACAAGGCCAACGACTTGCACTGATATTTTTGTGCAAGGCATATAGGACGGTTAGCACTGAGGCTTTGCCGGTGTTGGCAGGTGTCCTTCCGGTCGATCTCGAGGTGCAGAGACGTGCAGCCATGTACTATTCAAGACAAAACATGGAATGCGATTTCTTGGACGCGCGGGATCGCGGTAAAATTACAAGATTGCTTCAACAGCAGTCCGATGTCTATAATGACCTCATAGACGAATGGCAGCAACGCTGGGACGAATCATCCAAGGGGCGCCATCTTTACCAATTTTTTCCATCTGTTCGCGAACGGTTGTCAAGGACATGGCTTGAGGTAGATCACTGTGTCGCTCAATTTCTTACGGGTCATGGTAACTTTAAGAGCAAGTTGTATTCATTTAAATTAGTCGAGTCACCATTGTGTCAATGCTCAACACCTAACTCTCATTATGAACAATCTGCTCATCATATCCTCTGGGAATGTAGTCTTTGGTATAATGAACGTAATATAATGCTGAATAGCTTGCAGGTGACATCTGGGGCGGTATACTATGGGGATCTTGTGTCAACTAGGGTGAATTTCCGTGCGTTTAGGCGATTCTGCCATACATATTATAGAAATCAAATATAGCTCATGTAGGACCCGTAATATTTTTGTGGCCGTGGTGCTTCCCTGTTTAAAAGGGTGTATGCCTATTTTTACTTCATTTTGTCTCCCGCTTTGCTAAGGAGGGAAGTGGATTTACTGTATTTCCAACTCCTCCAATTTTCTTCTGATTAATTTCGTTGCGGGTTCCAAGACAGTTTAATTTCTTCCTGGGACTTCCCGAGTGTCATAACTCGGTGTGTTCGTGGGTCACTGCTGTGGATCCTGGTGTACAGGAGTTACAGTGGTGGGCGTGTGGGTGGGATTAGTCCCAATATAAAAAAAAAATTGTGTTATTAGTCCCATTATCTACATGTTTTTTTTTTATATATTTAATAAAAATGTAATTTTTAAATACCCAAGTTATCGTGTGGATTTTGAATGGTTTAAAACTAATCCATTTAATTTGCTTATTGTTAATAATGTACTTACCAAAACAAAACTCGTATTGTTCCTACGTATCCCGTTCGGAGCTATTTGAATAGAAGTGTCGTCACAAATGATCAGAACACGAGGCTGTCTCCTCAACCTACGTCAGTGTAATTTAATTTATGATAGGGATTTGGTTCCAAGTAGTCAATCAGTCGAGTTATGTTGTTTGTTCCGAGTTGAAGTTAAGTCTTTGAATATTCCTTTTTATTACATTTTTGTCGGCAATTATAGAGACTAAAATAAATTTAAAATTTGAATAAATCATTTTAAAAATGTGAGAGTGGGAATATTAACAAATAAACTTAATAAAACTTGTACTAATATACGTCAATAATAATATAAAACTAATATAGTAAAATATGTCAACTATGTAACATGCAAAGCGGAACGAACGTTTCGTAAGACATCTTATGGAAGAAGTTGGAAAAATGTGAATTACCAACTCCAATAATAAACACTCTAAAATACTGGTATGGTAATACAATTAATAATGTCCGCTGGGCAGGTGCTCTATCGCATCCGTGTGGGTTGGAATGCGGGGTAAGACAAGGGGGCTTGACCTCACCAACGCTTTTCAACCTGTACGTTAACGAGCTGATGGGTGAACTTAGTAGTGCAAAAGTCGGATGTCATATTGATGACATTTGTCTAAATAATGTCAGCTGCGCAGACGAAATGGCGCTGCTAAGCGCGTCACCATGTCGCCACGCCGAAAGACATGGCCTGGTGTACAATGTTAAGAAAAGTGAGGTCATAGTTTTTGAGGCTGGGGCCCTAAGGATATGTCACAGATACTTTAAATAGGCAATCATTAAAAAGGGTATTTATTTATTTAAAAAGGGCTTATTTTAACTCCCAGCCTCAAAGACGATGAGGATCTGGAAAGGAAAAGGAGGGCGTTGTCGGTGAGAGCGAACATATTAACCCGCAGGTTTACACATTGTTAGAATAATGTTAAGATCACACTCTTCGGAGCCTACTGCACGTCTTTCTATACGTGCAGCCTGTGGGCTACATATACTTGAAAAGCATTCAATTCCTTCCTTATCCAATACAACAATGCGTTTAGGGTGCTGTTGGGGCTACCCCGCTTATGTAGTGCCTCCGGGATGTTCGAAGAGGCCCGAGTGGACTGCTTTTACACTACTATGCAATAACGGTGTGCATCTTTGGTGCTGCAGTGCCGTCTCATGGAGTGCATAAATTAATTATTGTAAATCGTCTTTACTGACATAGGATAAGTTTTATGTATTACTAACAAGCAATGAGTCATGGTTAGTCTAATAAAAATGATCATTATTATTATATGAAACGTATTAGGAAGCAAATTCAATTTGTATAAACCAACAGATGTCCCGTGAGGATGGCGAGGCAGCCGTACGTGTGTCTCTGCCCGAGGGTACGACCGCCACGGTAGGTGTTCGCGAGGGCATGTCCGTCGAGGAGTTTCTTGCAGCGGCATGTGTCCGCCGATCTTTGAACGCTCTCGAACACTTCGTACGTGTAAAGAAAAGGCGTGACATGGAAGACCACAACTATTTCGTACCACATCGCAGTGACCTCATTGAGACATACGTAAGTTGTTAATAACAATCTTTTATTAAAATTTATTTTTATTTAGGTATTTGAAGAGTTAAAGTACAGACAATAAATAAAATATACACTAACCATGCTATGATCTAGGAAAATTAATGTGACAATTAAGATTATAAACACAACATACATGCACCAAAAAAAAGTAATTTTCCCTTTCAATTTACATAGTACATATTTAGACCTTAGATAAGAGAAATTTATGAAATAGACTAAACCTTATAAACACGAACAAAGTTATGCAGATAAAATTATATGCTACTAACCCAAAGATAATATTGTGATGATAAGAGATTCAACGTAATTAGTGAAATCGCGATTGTGTTAAACTTTACCGCCAGCCCATAATTTAAATTAAATATTCGCAACACAGTTATGAACGTGAAAATAAAAATATAAATGTTTTGTGACCGAGGTTGACGTGAGTAGGGTCTGACAGGGCCCATTCCGTCACAGGCTTTGCGCGACACAGCGTGGAGAGGTTATCAAAAAGTTATATTACTGTTACTTTAGGATCAACGAATATGGAATTCATACGAGGAAGTTAAATCCTATTTTTACTGTTGTTCGAACGAATGTATTACATTTGCTGAGAGACCTTAATCCTTTGAGTGAAAACTGGAACAGAGCGCCGAATACAGCACATATTAGATGTATGTTGTATATGTAACTAAATAATATTCAATTCATCTTATCGTGTTCACGCCTTGTATTTTAAAAATTTGAGGTCCACCAGTAGGTGCGATTATTTAACTGTAGTGAATATTATTTTATAAGACAAAGTTATAATTTAAGTTTTAGAATAAAGTACCTCTCTGTAAAATATTTTTTTCATATAGTACCTATACCGATTTACAAATTTTTTCCTACTTTTTACGATAGTTAAAAAAGCTATTATTTTCGTGAAGAAGCCCAGCCACAATGTACCTACAAATATTAAAACGATAATGACCTAATTACCAATACTTAATGAAAACAGTATCATCAAATAGAATTATTTTACGTGGACAAATTAAAGGAACAAAGTACGAGTATATGTTTTACAAACAAACAATGCAAATGTTGCGAAATTTGTCAAAAGTTATTAAGGCAAGGAAATATAAATCTCCAAAAGTGACTTCGGTATTGTTCTCTTTTAGTATCTAAAGTATTATTTCTATTTCTATACATTATACAATATTGTTTCGATCTTATAAAGTATACAATGACATAAAACCACAAGAAGAATTATGTGGCGTGATCCGGAAGGCTGCGAAAGACCATGATCAATTTTGAAACCGCAGTCAACGTGGACAAAACGATGTTCTATTTCCAAAATAAATAGAACGACATATAACCATGGGTCGTTTGGTTTGCTACCTTCATCAAATATAGGGCTCAGTTTCCAAAGAATGTTATAAACTCATCGCTTGTAGGCGCTTTGACAATTTTTTATTAATGTTTGCTACGTAACGTATCTATCCATGTTCAAATGTAAATACAATTTTAAGGTTGAATTAAGTAAATACTCACGTGTTTACTAAGAAGATTACCTAGGTGTTTATTTGTAATTTAATTATTGTATAGTTGCACACACACGAAGTGGTTGAAGTCTGTGCCAAGATCCTGTATCAAGTAGAGTTGCAACGCACGACCTTAGAGCAAATGTGGGGCTTCAGTGTGGAGGCTGAACTTATTGAGAACTCAGAACGGCAGGACGAGTTGTGCTGTTATGTCAGCCGAGTAGAAGACAAGAGCGTCGCCATGCAAAATGGTAATTGTAATTGATTATACATTCATATATAATATCAACATATATATACATCATTTTATACAGTTTAGATAAACGATGAGTTTTTTCCTAATATTAAATAATATATCATATTCATTTTCAGCGTTCTGTATCGGATTAATATACTACATATTATATTATGTAGAAACGTAAATTGCGTTTAACTCTAGTATTTTTTACTTTTTATAACGAGGATTTATTTTTACGACAAAAAAACTGAAGCGCTCTTTATCATTATAAACTGACATCTGACTTTCGAAGTAATACACAAAATCGAAACTTTGAGAAATGGAACCGTTTTTTTTTCCATTGTAGCTCTTTATAATCGTGATCTGAAAAGTAAAACAATTGTTCCTAGTATAGTTGTTTTCTGTGTCAGGTATAATCAAAGGCGACGAGATAATGGTGATCAACGGAGCGATCGTATCTGACCTAGATATGATGTACTTGGAGAGCGTGTTGCAAGAGGAACTCTCCCTCGTCATGATGATGAGGTATTTATACATGTCTTACTATTTATTTTTGCTCAAATACACCCTAAGTAATTTTTAATACTCTGTATTTTGCAATGATTAAGCTGAGTCTATTGTAGGATAACACATATTTTTCTCATCAACACGTAGCAATCATCACCAAGATGAAGAATTTACGTACTTTCAGTCGACCTAGTTACCGTAATATAATTTGGTTGTCGGCAATAATTTACACCGCTTAAAAAGAATATTTCTTGATGTAAAAAAGTTGTCTATTCGCATTTAGTGAGATTCGAAGTACCTCCGACAAACAGGAAAGTGAGCGCCTAGCACCTAATAAAACGGAAGTTAAAACGCGCAGTGCCGGAGCAGGGTGGACGGCCTGTTCATCGACATTTCCCGCCCTCATACACCTGACCTTTAGGCGCGACAAGTTTACTGAAGCGCTCGGCGCGACCTACATAGTCGCTGGGCTAGCTGCGAGAGGCGCTCACGGCCTCTGAGCCGCGGCCATTGTGAACGAACGCAATTGAGCTCTCTACGTTACCGCGCGCGTCGCATAATGTTCCCAGCAAATGTCTTCTCGAAACAAGCACTTGCGACACGGTATTATTATTGTTATGAGTTGTTCTACCTCATCGTTCATATAAAGCCTATCCGGCTTTAAGACCCTTGCTTTTATTCTCTTGTTACAGTTAGTGAACTTTACGAGAATAATTAATTACTCCATTCATCATAGGCTTTTCAACATGTGTCATTATATTTTTGAAAAATAAATACCTAGTTATGGACACTGATAACTTGGTAAAACAATACATAAACAAAATATCAAAATGTATAAATCAGGTAATCTGTGTTATTAAAATAATAAATAACTTTCCGTTTCCGTCAATAGTCCTGAAAAGCACAGCATTTTCCTTCCGATCCCATTATCGCATCTACTGCTGCTTGAAACGACAGATTCGCAGAGCGATTTTATCTTTTGCATCAGCTTTTTATCTCAGGCATTCTCTTACACTCTTGCACGTCCTAGAAAAAATGGATCAAAAGTTGATAATGTAAATAGGTGGAATACGATGTTTAGATGGTTTTGTTACATAGTTCGGATATCTATGTTAGATTGTTCTTTTGAGTAGCTTATTGCACACAGGTCGTCTCGTACGGAGCCACCCGAACTGACAGGAGTGATGCGCGCGGCCACAGACGACATAATCGATTCCCTTGTATGTCCGCCGCCGCCAAGCGAGCCGCCTGTCATCTCCGATGACATGATATCCGGCCTCATCGTGCCAGCACCCGCTTGGAGTGAGTACATACAATACGCACTCTCAATCTCGTAACTTCATACAAACGTAATAATAATCTCTGTAACAGATTTGTTTTTTATACGTGTGGAAACCCCCTGGGGCCGTCACCCCACCGAGGTTTAAGGTGGGGTGGTGTATTGGAACCGAACCGACTAAAACGACGCAATTGTGCCACACTGCGCCTGAAATAGGAATGTAACAAATACGTCAAGGATAAAGTTTTACATCCCGAAATAGTGTAAATGCCATATCATGTTAATGCCATACCATGTTCGTTAATGCTATGGGGAGTTAGAACCCTCTCGAATACCGAATTCAAGGTCAGTGACTGCTTCTATAATAAAAGTAGCTTTTACCTGAAGTCAACTGTTTATAAATAACCTGCATACTACAGCTATGACTGAACACACAATCCCTATTGTATTACAAAATCGATAAGCTTGCCGCATAGAATAAACCTAGATAGTTATTATGCACAAAATATAACTGGCTGACAGCAACTATGTATTTGAAAATGAAGTTTCTGGGTGGTTAGATAACGTTCGTAAGTATTACGTAAAAGTAAATTTTAATTAGTCGCTTGTTAAGCCCCTTCTCTTCTGCAAATAGAAACGGTATCCAGTGATTTAATATACCTAAATAATGACATGTGTATTACATTTTTCATCGTTATTTAGTAAGTAGTCAGGAATGTAATGTAGCATTCATTTTCGACGTTTAAACCGTTTCGATACTGTAAGCCGGTTTCGTATCGAGTAAGCCAAAAATTTAGCAAATAGCAACATTGAGTTTTTCGAAAATGTTTAGAGAAAGAGGCGCTTTGTGTCACTTCATAAAATTTTATTATAGTATGAAGGGTACCCAACTAGTCCGTATTCCTTTAAAATTAATAAAGGACATAACATAAGTGACAACCGAACGGTGAAGATGTTACGATAGCTTTTGTTGCACACAGTTACAACAACAATACCTGGATATGTCAATGAAAGACGACATGAGATACGTCAAACGTAAGACGTAGTTAAGGATATTATTTCAAATAAATTGATTTCTCCCAGCCACATAGTCATCACCACGTCTCTTTGCCTAAGGGTCTTTGAAAAATTTTGTTGTTGCTTTTTGTTTAAAAAATATTATCCCTGTGTTTAGGTTGATTGTACATAACGTATACAGCAATATTAAACTGATACAAATTCCCTATACAGAACCCATTAATTATACACTTGTGCTAAGAGGTTTCGATACCGAAAAGTTGTCATCATGACATAGCTGTGTGCAATAGGAACCCTAACACAGAATACAAGCTCAAAACGTTGCTAAAATAATCTGACTAGTCATTGGAAGAAGTAATGAGATTATGTGGGAGTTATGAAAACAAGGTGAATGTTCGTTATACATGTACGATATAAATATTTGAGCATCGGATATTTATCGATCTACACATAGACATTATGAAATTCACCTCTTAAATACGGACTTACAACTATTGTATTGAGTTACATGAATATAACTCCATCAACTAAAATATTTGAGGACCATGATAAACTATCAATCTAATAATGCATTTATGTATCAAGCTCTGTAAAAAAATCATGTCCCGTAAATGAAGCATATTTTACTATGATATCTTGAATTTAATTATATTACGTGGATAAATACGTTAGCGTATCGACTGCCATATTTTAGCGACTTTCGTTCGACATTAATAAAAGCAGGTCAACGCAGATGTGACATTGAAGAAATACGATATTTGTATGAAAACAACAAGAATCGTGATAAATGTATTTTGTTATGTGGTTGAACAGACTTCATTTTCTGCAACTCAAAGGTTAGTTATGTATCACTTTTAAATAATGAATTGTTTAAAGGAATTGTGTTATAAAGAGAGTAAGACAAGAAATACTTGATCCTAAAGGTGCGGTTTAACCACAAACCCATCTACCCCTCACATCTAGAAAAAAGATTGTGCTCTATTCTCCACTCACCTTAGTCACCTATATCTTTGCCTTGGCGTTCCAAAAATATCTAGTCTCTTTTAATAATCTTCTTTTTTTACCGTCTCATTACTTCAGTGTGGTTCATTTTTCTTTTGCTGTCTAAGCTGTAAATCGCAAAAAAGGCTTTCACAATAAACCAGAACGTCCTAACGATGTTAAAGTTCTAAACATCTTTACTGACGGCGGTATTTACATTTATGAATGTATGTATGTATAGATGTGGATAAGTGTTTCTAACCCTATTACTTTTATGTAGGTATACTTATTTATTAAACACATTTTTCCCTTTATATTACGACATTTAAATATTCTCATATGTCAGTTAGCACACACAGCTCTGCATTAGCTAAAGGCTGACTAGAAGAAAATACCTACGGCACTAAGTCCGACTTATAAAATGTATTGCAAATTTAAATAAATACATAATTTAGGAACATGATGATGTTGAAAGTGCAACAATATTCGTCAGCGCTTAAAAACTATTACTATCCCGGGAATGAAAAACTGTCAAATGATTTAAAATTGCCTTCTGTTTGATATCTGTGATAATTCCAACAAATAAGTACATATAAAGAATGAAACTGGAAGTGACGCACTTTCCGTACACAAATGTTATGAAATATTTAGAATAAATTGTTTGCTTTATATTTTAAATAAAAAGTTAATTTATTATGCAGTAACTAACTTTATTGGATATAGAGAAGACTATTTCATCGCTATTTAAACGATGATTTAAAGAAATACATACATATTAAGAGATCCTATTGGATTTATTTACTTCCATGAATTGTTGATACAAATTACTTAACTGATACAAATATCTTGTTTTGTAATACGGATACACAATAACAAAAATCACAAAAGTGAGAATGGCTCAAATATGTGATAGCAGTGTAGAGTTTATACCTTTAACACTAATATCAAACTATATATCACCAAACGCGTTGACTGTACACCTACACAATCGTAATATTCGCAAGTTACAATCAGAATAGACAGGGATGTGTAGTTAGAGCAAATAAACCCCTACAGCCCTTAGTGAATAGGAGATATTCATGCTCGCTTATTGTACGTTACATCCGCTCTTCTTGATTGTGCCTTGTATTGTAAATAACTTTGAATTATAATAAAAGGATGAATTTTGATATTTACGAATTTTATATGCTTTTAAAGTCTCATTTTGTCATATTATAATATTTTTTCAAAGGAAGTACATTTCTACTTGCCTTTTTCTTTGGAGAATGTAAATTGATTATTACTATTTTTTGGGCTTTTCTTTCCTTTTCATTGTGTTTTAATTAGAGGAGCTTTATTGTGGCGGTCATCATTATTTAAAGCTACCGATCCGAAATTTTCTGTCCTCTCTAAAGGTCTGCAGTTATTTATTTCACCGCTCATGTTCCAACCATACAAGAGGCAATTATGACGACATATTGACTCGACGTGTAGTTGTTGTTTGTTTTATGACAGCTATACGAGTATCGAGTGCAGCTTGATGCGGCCCGACTTCCAGGGAACAATAGCACGAACCCTGAACCACAAACACATTATTTATTACGACATTCGCGCCTAATGAAACTGCTCGTGTACTCACCCAAATTGATACACTATCGTATATGATAATAAAGAACTGTAAGTGCTCAAGCTTACATAGTTTACTCAAAAAGTTTCGTATCTTGATATTAATAAGTGATGAAGAAAAAAATTAACATAGCCTTATAGATAAGTAATAATTTGAAAAGTTTTACAACACTTTATTTAAGTTATTAAAATATATGAATGATCAAAACCACTCCACACAATAAACAGTGATTGTGCTAATGCTGCAACAAAAATAAGGTCAGTTTAGATAAAGACCACGACCTCGCTCTGGGCTATTTGCTTGTGCCCGATGTTGACTTAAAGCGGTCAAAAACTCATTGTGTGACTTCTTGTCATAAAACGGCCTTTACATGAAACTTTCATCAAGAACATTGTAATTTCCTCTCGTGTTATTGAAAATGGAATGTCTCTTTTGAAAACCGCTGTATTGAACATTTTGATTTCACATTTCTTAATCTCAGCGTATTAAAGGATTTTTGGATATGTCGAATGGAGGCGCTTAAATGATCGTTAGTATTTTATTGACATATAAGACGCGCGAATGTGTGCCGAAGTATTTTTACATTCGACAATATCAAGCAGCTTTGAGTTTCAAATACATAAAGGGATAGCGAAATATAATATGGCATGCAGATATAAGAAAAGGTAAGGTTAAGTATACCTTCATATAAATCAAAGGCAGTCATTCACTTACATTTCATGGAAATTAGGAGGGACATTGAAATGACTCGGTTATTACAGTATAATATTAAATTTTTGTATGTACCATAGCAGTAATTGAGTGTATAACAGTTTTTTTTTAATTCAGAGGAAAAATATAACTCATACCATATTGCTGCTAGTAACAATGCTTGGTAATATGACAATTTTACAACTATGCACTGATATTGTTGTGAAAGCTGAATACATATTATTTGGATTAAATAATCATGAAAGTTTTAGTCCGTGGTGCCTTCTCTCTTTATTATACCGTCTGTCTTTGTTTTGTGAAGTTATCCTCCAGTTTACTTCTTATTGAGTTCTGAGATAGTTGAGTCTGTGTTGCGACTCGTTATGTTCTTAAATTACTTCTCTAAATTCTAAATGACAAATTGTCATTTTATTCGCTTTGTGAGTAGATTCAGGTTAATAATGAAATGAAAAGAACTGAAATGCCTAATATGTTTCTTATCTATGTATATATTTATATACATAGATAAGAAACATATTAGGCACTTAGTTATTTAACTAAGTTCATTAGTTTAAATCCGCAAATCTAAGGATATCGTTTTAAAGGTTTTACACAACATTGTTTTCATACGCGCATATTTTTATTCAAGCAGGATATACGGTAAATATTTATATATATTCTATACCAATGTTTGTTTGTTAGTATTTTATGTCATCATCATCATTATCACCAAACACTCTTGTTTATAAGCTACATTCAACTATTTTATTATTAAGTACCATATTACATTACTTAATGTCTAACATTACTCACTGCCTGCCTAAAATTTACTTACCTATATCTTGGATGTTCATTCATGTTGCCACATAAAAACCACAAAGTTCGTTTACGAAGCTACAATTCACGGGCTGAAAAATCTGCTTGTCTTTAAACTAAGACTGTCTAAGAAGTAAAATTCGTTTATCACATGTCCGCCATAATTACTTCCTTTAACTCTTAACCGTTTACATGGCATACGCAATTAAACGAAATTTGAAAATAAATGAAATTTCGTCAGTGGTTTTGAGCAACGAGCTCGGTTATAAAGTTAGTGAGTATTTTGCATAATTGTGTCACGTGTAATGACATCACAGGTAAGGAGCTGTACAGCCCAGACACGGACGGACACAATGGTGACGCAGTCAACTCCGGTCCTCCCAAAGTCAGCTCTAGAACCAACTCCTTCGAGATTGAAAATCTACTAAAGGTATTTAAAAAAAAATCGCTCGTCACACGCACGCCTCTGCGACATAATCCCCGATTCAATTATCTACCTCTTCGAGAATATTTCCATTTTATTTCGTTAGCGTACCCGCATGGTAATGTCTCTCTCGAAAATAATAATCGTCTCTGGAGATTCAGTCAGCGTCCCCTATTATATTCCTTCCTCTACCTTTGGGAATTATCCATATCTATCGATTATCTTGCAGAGGCTGTTACCGACTATAATAAACGTAATCCTTCAAGTACAGTTACCTCGTTATTGGATTCTTGTTATATGACTTTGAGCCACTAAAATAACGTTCTAACCTTATATTATTATGTCGATAGTACAGCCGTAAAGAGTAATGTTGTATATTTAAGTGTATTAATCTTCAAGACTTTTCTTTTATTTTAGCTGGATAGTTAAGAACATTCTAAAACATGACGTTGTCTACTTTTTCTAAGCCCTTATTAATAGATTAATACACAAATTAAAATTGAATAAAACAAGTATTATTTTTTTTTAAATAACGTAAATTTTCACATACCTTACTTTTACATGTTTGTTTAACTGTTAAGTTTTTTTTTTCGTATTGTGTTTTGAGAAAGGCTTACAAACTGAAAATAAAACTGAATGTAGATAAAATAGGTAACTTTGCTAACGAGAAAACATATTTTAGCTTTTGATATACATTATTTGCTCATAATTTTTAGGAGTTGTGGAGGCACAGTGGAGTGTGGATATGAATTCTGAATCATTAAGCAGGCCTGAACCATAAAACGATCTCATAATTAGGACTAAATAGTGTTTTGTTGCATGCCCCGAAGGCGTTTATCAAGCATCTTTTGTTACTGTCGTATTTATTCTTGAATTAAATGTAATCTGCTGTGGTAGAGTGCGGAGCAGGTGACCGGGTGGTGCCGGTCGCCGGCGGAAACCCGGCGCGGCAGCCCGACCGGCAGCGTTGCCAGCGCTGCCGCTGGCACTCCCTCGCGACACCTCTCCGACGCAGACAAGCTCAAGAAGGTGCTTCTTGAACTGGTTGATACTGAACGCGCCTACGTTAAAGTAAGTTTGAAACATTATGACTTACTTTTACTACAAAAGTACAAACACGTCAAAGTTTTATAATTTTAATTTTGACAGTAACGCAGATAAAAATTTAAAAGTCTACCTAATTCCAACAGGCATAAGTCATCCATCCAACAAGTATAAAATTTGAAACGCTTTTATTTTTAACCGACTTCAAAAACACAAAAGAGGAGGTTCTCAATTCGAGTGAAGATTTTTTTGTATGTTTGTTACGCGATATGACCGTTAATTGCGGACGGACTTTCAAAATTATTCTTGTAATCGAAAGGTTATTCTCCCGAAGTTGTCCTATTTCCACCCAACCCTCAAGTTTCACAGTGTTCCCCGACTACGTGTTTTAGCTTGTTTCTTTAGCTACACAGATATTTGCATTTGGTAGTCGTTATCTCATGTAAAATGTTTGTTACTCAATTATTTTCATGTTTGTTACCTCAAAACTCTTTCATTTGTTAATCGATTTCGAAAATTAGTTTATTATTTGGCAGGGTATATTTTCTATTTTTCGTTTAGTTCTATTCAAATCGGAAGAAAAATGCCACCCCTAATGTTGGAAAATTAAGTAACGTGAAAAATATAAATTTTTGTTTTCAAATCTCACTACCTTATTTAAATACTTACTAAGACTTTTTAAACTAAATTTAATACAGGTAATCTAACATAGTACAGTTTAGTACTATAAACATTACAGTACGTAGTGTTTTAAATGGGTGCGCATTTTTCACATAACTTTTCCTATTATCGTAAGTCCGAAAATATTTCTTATATCATTTTACATGATAATGACTCTTTCTATGAATATTTTATACTAACGATCGAAACTTATAATCATCAGAATTCATAATATCACTAATCATACACCTTTTTTTTTTTTTTTTTTTTTTTTTTTTTTTTTTTTAACTTGTGGATATCCCCTCGGACCGTCACCCCACCGGGTTAAGGTTAAGTTGTCAGGCCAAGGGGTAACAGGGGTTCTGTGTACGTGGGGCGGGCCGATTCTGAGCGAGAACGTCGGCGGCAATACCAGCCGTGTTCGGGGCTGCAGGCTGCCAGAGGGAGGGGACATCTGCTACGGTAGGCGATAGGATGACGGCCTGGTCGCAAAAATGCAATCGGGCTCTATCATATTATAAAGATTGGCCGATTTACATTTTAGATTAGATTTACAGGCGTCGATCCGGGGGGGACCCGAAATAACATGGTCCGGGTCCTCCTCGGATTAGGGCACTTGAGTCCGGCCGTCGGGGTCTTTTTCAGTGGGAACATTACATACTACTGGTTCCTAAAAAAACTACTGGCTCCTACATCCCCAAGGAGCCGGCGATCCGAAGGGATTTTCCACCCCGTCAACAAAAAAAAATTATTAGATTAGAACTACGACCCTACAGAAGGCGAGCCGAGCGAGCGAAGCGAATGTGCTGCGGCTGCGGCCGGCAAGGCGCCAGAGCCGAACACATTTTTAACTAATACTTACATGTAAATAAATGACAAGCGAAGAATCACCTTCTAGTTCCTGTCTCTAAGTCTAAGTCCCTACGTCTTTGTAATTAACTAACATTTGGACTTGAAAGAAAAGTTTGCACGATTGGCCTAATACAAATAAACTGTAACTAACCTGTAACTAACCACTAAATTACAGCTCGAAAGAAAGAGATTATTATCATACATATGTAGTTGTTATGCTTGAGTTGCATTTATATTTTTTACTAAATTACGACTTAAATAAATCTTATTCAAATAGCTACCGTTATGTGAAACAATACTATGAGTTCAAATATTTTTTTAGTAACGTCATTATTAATAAGAAAATTATGATAATTGTCTGCTATGAAGAAAATTGTTCTGAAAAATAACATGAGTTATCCCAAGAGACTAGATTTGAGTATATCCTTTTAATTTCAACTCGATATCTACACGCGTTCCCAAGATAAAGGGTCTTGACAGACAGACAAACAGACGGACAACAAAGTGATTCTGAGAGGGTTCCGTTTTTTCCTTTAGAGTTACCGAACCCTAAAAATAGGACAAAGATTTAGCATTATACTAACAATAGTGTGTGTGGTGACGGATTAAGAATACAGAGTGTCACCACCCCTGTTCATCTCGTGGGTGTCGTAAGAGCCGACTAAGGGAAAAACTACGCAGAATATCAGCACTGCAGAGAGAAGGAAAACTTGATACACACCCTTTTTTTTTTTTTTTTTTTAACGTGTGAAAATCCCCTCGGACCGTCACCCCACCGGGGTTTGCGGCGGGGTGGTGTGTCGGACTCGGACCGACTAAAACCACACGGTGTGCCACTCTGCGCCTGTAACAGGAGGGATCCGGGAACAGCTGTTGTTAAGACATCCAGACCCCTCCTAGCGCCAGCCCGCTCCTGGTGCGGGCTCCGTCTCAATATTTTCCTCTCTTTAGGCGACGTCCGGCACACGCGGACGCCGCCCCCTCGCGGCTGGCCAAACTAATGCGGGTGGAGGGGAAACCCACCCCGTCCACCCGCGGCCACACTCAGGGTGGCATGAGGCGGTGATAGGCGCGCCTCCGCCGCCCGGTTCGCCGGCGGCGGATCGGTTCCGAGTGGAGGTCGTCCTCCCGGGCCTTCTCCGCCGCCTCCTTCTGCGAGATTACTTCCTCGCAGAAGGTTGCGACCGCGGTAAAACAACTGGAGCGTACTACGGCCGGTAGCGAGAGATCCACTCCGATGACTGCAGTGAGGGCCCGGCGCTGCGTCGCCCATGCGGGGCAGACCGCTAGCGTGTGCTGGGCCGAGTCCTCACTGCAGTCACAGTGGTGGCAGGCGGGACTTAGTTCCCTCCTAGCGACCGAGTGCAGGTACTTGCCGAAGCAACCATGCCCGGAAAGCACCTGCGTCAGCCGGAAGGAAAGGGTCCCATGCTGCCGCCCTGCCCACTCGGCGATGACCGGCTGGAGAGCCTCCACGGCGACGAAGCCAGCGCGTGGAGTCTCCAGCCGGAACGACCAACGAGCCATCGTGGCTCGGCGAGCGGCTTCGCGCCACTCGCGCACATCCTCGGGCGGAGGGCGAAATCCGCTCTCCGCCCGGGAGTCAGCCACTCGCCGATAAACTTCGGCGAGCACTTCCGCCTCCAAATCCCACGGGGGAGTTCCGGCCAACGCGCACGCCACCTCCGTCGACACGGTGCGGTAACCGCGTATGGCTCTGACCGCCATTACCCTCTGAGGGCGCCAGAGGCGTGCCCTATTCTGGGCGGTCAGAGCCGCCGCCCACACCGGTGCATCGTATAGTGCCATTGACCGGACAACCCCCGTGTACAGCCGTCTTGTCGCGACGCTGGGTCCACCCAAATTAGGCAAAAGTCGCCCTAGGGCAGACGCAGCTTTGGAGCAAGCTGTCGGAAGTGCTCGTCGAAGAGCCACCTCCCGTCGAGGATCAGGCCCAGATATTTCATCTGGGCCCGAACCGGTACGAGGACCGAGTTGACTACGATTGAGGCGCCAGGGGGTGGACCACGACGGGGCCCATGAAATAACAGGGCCTCCGTCTTATCTAGGGCCACCCGTAAGCCCAGCGCCTCAATGCGCCCGACCACCAGGGAGACTCCCGTTGTGGCCAGGCGCGCCGCCTCTTGGAAGTTTGCCCCCCGGGCTGTCACCAGGGTATCGTCTGCGTAACAGATTACACCCAGCCCGGGGGGGAAATCGGCGCGAAGGGCCCAGTCGTACCCTATGTTCCACAAGAGGGGTCCAAGAACAGACCCCTGTGGAACACCGCACGACATGGGCCGACACCTCAAATTACCCTCTCGGTCCTCGTACACGACGGTACGCTCCTCTAAATAGTCTGCCACTAGCCGCCTCAGGTACTTTGGCACCCCATGATAGTGGAGTGCTTCCCTGATGCAGCTGAATGGCAGACTATTGAATGCGTTGGCGATGTCCAGCGACACCGCCAACAGCACGCCGCCACAGCTCACGGTGTTCTTGGAACGGATCCGTAGAACAGCCGCCCCTACCTCCGAATCCCGGACGGGCGGAACATTATCCTCCCCGTGCTCCCCGTCGTCTCCGGCCAAGGAGGCCATCGCCGGGGGAGTGTGTTCCGCTCGTTGCGGGAAAAGGCCCTCAACCACTTCTCGCAGGAAGCTGGGCTGGAGAGTCTCCGTAAGGGGGGGGCCCGACGCGCGGAGCTTTTGTCGCACCGCGCGATAAGGGCGACCCCAGGGGTCACGATCGAGACCCTCCAGCATCTCCTTTCTCTTTATCTCTTTGGCGCGGCTAATGGCCAGCTTCAGAGTTTTCCGCGCCTCTCGGTACTCCTCATGAAGCCGGTCCTCCTCACCGTCTCCACGGTGACGCCGCCGACTGCGCGTGTAGGACCTCCGGGCACGTGTACAGGCCGCACGGAGGTCCGCCAGCTCCTGGGGCGACCAGTAGACCTCCTTCCTTGGAGGCCGACGACCTCGAATGCGGGGCATGGCCAGCGACCAGCCCCCACGTCGACCTCCTCGGTCGGGGCCCGAGGAGACAGCCACGAGTGAATTATGGCTGCCTCCTCTAGTAGGTCCCGGTTCAGTCTGGCAACAGCCCACCGCGGAAAGCGGGATAAACGCCGCGCCACGTGACCCCTACTGGAGTCCTGGGTCCGGGAGAGCTCAAATCGGATATAAAGATGATCCGAGAGCGTCTCAACCTCTTCCAGGACACGCCAGTTCCTTACTCGTGCGGCGAGGACAGGGGTAGCGAACGAAAGGTCCACTATCGACCCCCCCTGCTGTCGCACGCACGTGTTGGTGGAGCCTCTGTTGAGAAGACAGAGGCCCACCGAGGCCGCCCACTCCTCTACGGCCTCGCCCCTTGCGTCCGTCCCGGGGGAACCCCACGCAGTGGATTTTGCGTTGGAGTCCCCCAAAACAAGGACGTGCCCAGACGCTAGTCGCCACATCGAGGTCTCCAGGTTGTTGAGGAAAACCTCGAAGTCGCTCAAACTCCGGTTGGGGGAGAAATAAACACCATATATGGTGATCCGCCCCCACTCGGCGGCAACATATCCATTGCCCTTGTCTCTTAGCGACAAGGGCGGGGAATGAGCCGCCATGGAACCGACGACTGCCACGGAGCCGTCCCAGTCACCCATCCAGTTTGGACGGGGAGGGACAAAATAGGGCTCCGCGACTACGGCAACACCTATCGACCACTGTGCCATGGTTTGCAGGAAGAGATCCTGCGCCGCGGCACAGTGGTTCAGGTTCGTCTGGACCAGGAGGCTGGAGAAACGATCCATTACTGGATCGTCTCTACAGCCTCCTCCATGGGCGACGACGTCGACGCACAAACTACATCGGAGGCAGCCTGGGTCGACTGGCTAGCCCCCGATGCTTGCTGAGAGTTGCGGGGAGGCTTGCAGCCCCCCTGCCCCATCTGGTGATTGGCGGGCTTGTTACCCGCCGCACACACCGGGCAGTGAGGGGCGGCAGTGCATTCCACCGCCACATGCCCCGGCCGACCACAGCGGAAACATAGTCCGCTGCAGTCGAAGCAGCACTTGATATACACCCTACACCAACCCGTCTCGGCAGCGTGGTATAGTAAGCCACAACCTCTTTTGTAGGAGAGGCTTATGTCCTGCAGTGGACAGCTATTAATGGCTGTTGATGTTGATGGTAACAATTGATATCTTCTAGTCTTTTTGAAGTATGTGCCAAGCCCCATGCACAATAAGTAATGCTGAGGGTCTATGTCAGCTACGAAATAAGGAAATACTAAAACATATCGCAAACAAACGTCCCGGTTTCTAAATTTACGAAGTTTATAAGTAACTTTGAAACCTATGTATAAGTTATACCATTACAAAGATAGATAGATTACAAAGGTAGATAGTAGATGTATTTATTTGTTAATAAACACAATGACTTGGCCCTGTACGGCGGCGGCGGCTTGACTTACTTGAGGCGGCTAGGCTCGAATTAATTATAAGTAATCGAAAAAAAAAAATTAAAATAACTTTAGTTGTTTGTGGTTTTATTCTTAAACTGAATTAATGACTTCTACGTTTTCAGAATTAAACTGATATTCCTTTTTACAATTCAGATAATACAGACAAATATAAATAAATGATAGAAAGTCCTCTCCTTTCTTACATATACATATAGCTTCCTTCTTATACATCAAGGTCAGAAAAGATTTGATGGATTTATAAAACAGTTCGCATCTGTTCCGCAATATAATCACTGGCTAAGATTTAAAACAGAAAACCCGTATAAATCTTAAAAAAATGGTTTAAGTTAAATTTTATACCTTCGTTATACTAAACTTAGATATCAAAACTTTTTACTGCAGTTACGGTGATTATAATAAAATAATTAATTATGTTCATAGAATATAGAATTTTCATTTTTAATAAAGTCCTACAGGTTACTATGGCAAGCTTTGCAAACTTCTTTATTGAAGTAGATATCCGAGTAAATAATGGTGAACCATCTTTAACAGTATATTTTTTTAATTTTATCTTTTGTGTTATACATTTTTGTTTGGACGGGTCTAGGTCTAGTGGTTAGTGACACTGACTGCTAAGAAGATTCCTAAGCAAGACAGATAATTGTAAAATGAGCACGATCATTTGTTTTGTATCTGAAATATTTAAGTATATTTATCAGCAGTTTGGTAACCATAGAACAATGTCTGTCTCAGTCGGCCGTGTGTGAGATATGTGTAGTTATCATTATGATTTCAAAACGATACTAATTTTAGTTTTGTGAAATCAAAATTCAATAATTCTATGATACGCTCTGGTTTTGCATCACTCAATATATTATTTTAATTAAAACTTAATTCTTACAATACTTACTTGGTACTTCAATGAGTATTGTAAATTCTACATAAATCGAATTGACGATAATCATTTGACGCATCAGTATTTATCGGGCGTATCACATATCGGATTAGAGATAGTAATTAAAAAAGGAGTCGGTTAGAAACATACAAACAAACATACAAGTGAAGCTAATATAAAGCGTGTAAAAAAAAGAACTGCTGCTTTAATATGAAGTAATGTAACATTATTTTGCTTTTTGGTGTAAATAGCTTTTGTACATTGCAGATGTAATGTATAATATAATTATAATAATAATAATAATAATATTCTACCACATACACACAATGCCATCTAGTCCCAAACTAAGCAGAGCTTGTACTATGGGTACTAGACAACTGATATAAATACATATATACTTTTTTTTTTGTAAATACATACATATTATACATAGAAACACCCAGACCAAATCAAACATCAAATGTTCATGCACACAAATGTTTGACTTGAGCGGGAATCGAACCCGCGACCTTTGGAATAGCAGTCCGTTACACAAACCACTACGCCATCCGGTCGTCAATTAATAAGATAAAAGACCTGTCCTCGTAACTCCGATTGTTATTACTTGCAGAATCTAAACAACTTACTAGAAAACTACCTGGAGCCGTTAAAGAAAGAAACTTTTTTATCAAACGCCGAGATCAATGCTTTGTTCGGAAACATTCAAGAGATAGTAACTTTCCAAAGGCAATTCTTACAAAACTTAGAGGAAGCGCTCGAGGCTGAACCTAACTTCCATCACTTTGAATTTTCTAATCAGTTCAAGGTACATAATTAGCATTTCATATCTATTTAATATCACAGTGTAAGAGTTTGCTATAATAACCATATCTTTTACAGAATGTGCTCTTCGCAGTTGGAAACGCTTTTCTGTATTACGTTAACCATTTCAAATTATATAGCTCTTTCTGTGCCAGCCATAGTAAAGCACAGAAAGTGTTACATCCAAGTAAGAGAATTTTCTTTCTTCCTATGTATTTTGTTATTTTATGTATGACAACACTAAATTCATTGTGTGAACCTTTATTGCAGATGAAGGCAATCAAGTGTTACAAGAATTCCTTGCAGCCAGGAATCCCAAACAACAACACTCGTCTACTCTAGAATCATACTTAATAAAACCTATTCAAAGGATATTAAAATACCCATTACTATTGCAACAATTAAGGAATTTGACTGATGTTAATTCTGAGGAGCATCTTCATTTAGTGGGTAAGAGACGTTTCATTTACAAATAGGAACTTTAATAAGCAATTATTATCTGTAATATTTCTAATATTTTCTTTTTATTACAGAGGCTCTAAAAGGTATGGAAAAAGTTGCGGAGCACATCAATGAAATGCAACGAATACATGAAGAATATGGTGCTATATTTGACCACTTGTTTAGGCAACATCAAAAGTCTTGCAAACAACCCATAGATCTAAGTCCTGGTTGGTATTTTATATAACTGCTGTTGCGTTACAAATATATTTCATTCCGTTCTCTTTTTTACTAAATTTTGATGTGTTTTCAGGTGATTTGTTATACTACGGAGGTGTAGAATGGTTAAATATTTCTGACTTCTTAGGAAAAATTAAAAAAGGATTGGAATTACATGCTATGTGCTTTGTATTTAAATCTGCCGTTGTCTTCCTTTGTAAAGAAAGACTGAGACAAAAGAAGAAACTGATGGTACGTAATCAGTTTTGAAGAATTATCCGATATTTTATTAACAGTTCACTTAAAAATATATTTGTTTATTTCAAAGATACCTATACGAATCGAAATATCTTTGTGTTGACGAACAAATTAACCAAGCATCAAGACTCGCAATAGCACTGTCCCTATTTACCTTGATAAATGCCGTATCCGAGAAATTGAATATATTTCCTACTTATAATTTCCATTTTATTACAATTATTGTTTTTGATTCTAGGGAGTTTCGTCAAAGAATAACTCCAGTGAAGTGGAGATCATTCGGTACCAAGTGTTAATACCGGTGACGGAAGTACAAGTTCGTGCATCATCTGCAAAGGACATGGATAGTCACTTCCTTTGGGAACTTATACATTTGCGAAGTCAATTACAACGACGATCTGAAAAAGTTTATGTTCTGTCCAACAGGTTGGTGATGTTTGAAATTTTTCGCCTTTCCCTCTCACATTTATAATAATGTAATAATGTATCAAAACAAAGTTCTTACGAGTCTTCTTAAAATTACTTAAAGTTTTTAAAGTAATATTCAGTTTTAACCTAAACAATTACTTAAAGTTTTTAAAGTAATATTCAGTTTTAATCTAAACAATTATTTAAACTCTCTAATATGTTCTGAAAACGTTGTTTTAATTTGTCTCCATATTAATAATTGATCTCACCACTACGAGTATATCTATACATTTTACAACTACTTAAATTTCAGTAATACATTGAAACTTAAAAAATTCAATTTAGATACCTACATAAAACACTACTATACTCTTTTTTTTAAGAATAGTTTTACACTTTCCACTGACTTCCAAAAGGAGATACTCTTACGATACTATACAAATCCTAAATGAGAATATTTATACAAGAACTGTGACTTGCCCTCGCAGTACGGCAGATTTCCGAAACGCCTTCCTGAAGACTATCCGACAGATCATCCGCGAGTCGGTTCGCAACATGTCACTGCCCACCTCGCGGCCTGCTCCCACGCCGCCCCGCGCACCCCATGCGCCGCACGCTCCCCACACGCTCGACCGCGACACGGCGCGGCCCAAGCACCAGGTACCTTCATCCAGTCAATAGTTCTAAATTATCTACAAGTATTTACGTAACTATAAGTATTTACCACCTAGCAGTCAATACTTTTTTGTTTTTATAATAAGGCTTAAGACCTTTTGAAAGTAACCAAAGTTGTCAAAGATATCATTAAATACTATACAGTATACAAGCTTAGATATCTGCACCTATACTTATCCTTGTTTATTCTATATCCTTTTTCTATTCTTCCTATACCCGGTCCTTAACATCATTTCTCGAATATTTTAACGTTCAAACGTTTACGGTAAGCCTGTTCAAGCAATTGCAGTCTCCATCCGAAATCCCATCCCAAAATTAGAAAAAGGGCATGAAGATGATGACATGATACATTAATGTTGAAACGTTTTCGTGCAGGTACAAGTAATGCAAGGATCACAAACGCTTGGTAAAACGAAGAAACCTAAAATTACGGGTCAACGACTATCAGCTGGAAATATTGAGGTACCCACAATATACAAGGTGTAAGGGACATCGTACCGAATGCTGAAATAGTGTATTCAGACCATGATTCTGAGTTGAAAATCATTGAAATTTTCTGCCGCTAAATTCTTTTTTTTTTCATTTTTCTGGTAAAATGATATCACTATGAGTAGACAGAACATTTTACCGAAAACAATTTAATAAATACCGAAAATCTGCAGTGTAATTAATCAATCAAAAAAAAAAAAAAAAAAAAAATAAAAAGCAAACCTAAAAAAGGGTGGCTGACTACAGGTCTCAAAAATTCATGCAAGCATAAAAGGGTGTTAAGAACCATCTTTAATGAAACTAAAAGTGATGTAATAAAAAAACACTACAAATCATATAGTAAAATATTAAAATACACTATTAGAAAATCAAAAAAATTGGAATTTATTAGGCAAATGAAAAATTCTGAAAATAAGGTCAAAACAATGTGGAATATAATTAACACAAAAACCGGTAAAACGAAAATAGTCAGACTTAAAAATATATCATTAAATGTTAACAATGAAGAAGTCAAATGTCCTTCAGATATAGCCAACATATTTAACGAATTCTTTGCAACGGTAGGGCACAACCAAACAACCAGCTCTAACATCGCCCCTGGACAATCAGTGGTTAACCCCTCCACATGTTCAATGTACGTGCGCCCTGTAAATCAAAAAGAAATAATCGATATCATTCGATCAACTAGAAATAAGCATAGTTGTGGTATCGACGATATTCCACCAATCTTATTAAAACAATGTGCAATGGAACTTTCAACCCCTCTGACATTACTAGTAAATCAAAGTTTTGAAGACGGTCAATTTCCAGACGCACTAAAAGTCGCTTTAGTCAAACCAATACATAAGAAAGACGATACAAACACTCCTACAAATTATAGGCCAATAGCCCTTTTACCAACGTTTTCAAAGGTATTCGAAAAAGCTATGTGTAACCAGCTATATGCGTTCCTAGAAAAGTTTAATATTCTTGACGATTCACAAAATGGATTTAGAAAATGTAGATCAACAACGTTAGCCGTGTACAAATATATTCAAAGAGCGTTACAACACATAAATGACAAACAACACGTAGTAGGAATGTTGCTGGACATGACAAAGGCGTATGACAGGGTCCTGTACGACATTTTACTCAACAAATTATATGGCTGTGGAGTACGGGGACCCGCTTATTCATGGTTTAAATCATACTTAGAAAATAGGACACAAATAGTACAAATTAATCATTACAACCATGACTTCCTCCAAATAACTTCCTCAATACCCCAAGGAAGTGTATTGGGTTGTGTGTTATTTTTAATTTATATAAATGATTTGCCAAAAACATTAGACAAAGAAAAAACTCTGCCGGTACTTTTTGCGGACGACATTTCGATACTATTAAAATGCGAAAGTGAAAATAACCCAAATCTTCTTTTACAAAACACTCTTCAAACAATAGATAACTGGCTTAAGGATCACAACTTAGAAATAAATTCAACTAAAACAAAAATAATACAATTCAGATCTTATAAAAAATCTCCTTTAAAATTGAACATAATGTACAGAAACACACGTTTAGAAGAAGTTGAGACATTTACATTACTTGGGATGAAAATAGACACACATATGAATTGGAAATCACACATCGAGCACATTAAATCAAAACTTTCTAGATTTTCTTACGCCCTTCTTCAAATTAAACGATCTACTAACACACAGACAGCTTTGTCTGCTTACTACGCGTATGCATACTCGTGGCTCCGATATGGCATCATGCTATGGGGAAATAGCGTTAACAGCGGTGAACTATTCATAATGCAAAAGAAATGTATAAGAATCCTAGCCCAAATTAATAACACGGAGAGTTGTAAACCATTTTTTAAAAAATTTCAACTTTTAACTCTGCCCTCGATATATATACTCGACATATGCGTATTTGTGTTCAAAAATATTGATGCCTTTACAAAAGTAAAAGACACCCACACTATAAACACCCGGCACAAAAATAGGCTTTACCTTCCTCCGTCAAGAATAAAAATGTTGAACGAAAGCCCATACTATATGGCAGTTAAAATATTTAACAAGCTACCAGACGTTATTAAAAACGAAAGAAAACCACTACTTTTCCAAAAAAAAATTAAACTTTATCTCACACAAAAATGTTTCTACTCAGTCAAAGAATATTTGGAACCTACCTCAACATAACATTTACATAATTGCGATCCGCCCTATACAAATATTTACTAATTTTTTTTATCACTTAATTTCAATTTTAATATACAATATAATATAATTACTTTAATTCATAATAATATTCAAAGCTGACATGATTTTATTGACAAATCTTTATTTATTGTCTCACTTATTCTATAAATTCGTGCATATGGTATAGAAGAACTTTTAATAATAAAATTGACCTAGTATGGACTGTGAGCTGCTAGTGCAGCACTTTATGACACCTTTTGCACACCATTGTCATGGTAGAATGTACTGAACCAGTATTGTAATTATTGACATCTGTTGTATGTACTACATTCTGCAAATAAATGAATTTGAATGAATTTGAATTTGAATTTGAAACAGCTGAAGCGCGCGGGCCTCCACTCCGGCCGCCATTTCTTGTTAGTGTGCGTAGTCTGTTTGCACAGAATACACATGTAGTTATTACTTTTGTGCAATCGAATGACCTTAACCTTTGACAGCTGATTGCATAAAAATTAAACCGGCAGAATATTCCAATGATTTTCGACTCAGAATGATGGTCCGAATACACTATTTCAGTATTCGTTACGACGTCTTTTACACCGTGTATATCACCTTAAATTATCATTTTTAAATTGAAATTGATATTTTTATTTAACTTTATACTACTTAGGTGTCGATAAAGTTACAATTATGTTAAAGGTTGGAGAACTGTCTCGCGAGAATTCGCAAGATGCAGAGGAGCCACACCAACAGCCGGCGACTGACGAACCCGCATTCAGACACCGCAGCAAAACACTGGGCGACACTACTGGTTAGTTTAAGTAGTTGTGTTTTTCACTTAAAGCTTACGCAATTTCATTGTATAGGCAATCTCCTATAATGTGCTTGAATATTATGTTTATACAACTGAACTAAAGACCTCATGTCTTAATTTAACTCCATTAACATTGGTTATTCATCTCCTTCCAGATCTTAGATAGTAACTGTTAAATTAAGAAAATTGGTTGCTAAAAGAAGATGTGGCAAGACAAATATTATTAATAGACGGGTTAGACTACTGAACAAAGACTACGAAGTCATTTATTTGACAATATAAAATTTATATTAGTTACTGCCAAATAAATCAACTAAATTATTAATTTAGACCCTTTCATTTTTCATAGGTAACGTGATGATGTACGTTGTACGACACGTATCTCTCATATAAACATCCCTTGTCATAGATTTTGTAATGTAACTCGCAAGAACTCCACATATGTGTGTGTTAATGTTATGGTTGGTTCTAGTAACAACTGCGTCTACATCAAAACAATGAATTATCCTACTAGAATTATAACACAAAATTGTGTTTACAAAGACTAAGGAACAACTTTCAATATGAATTTTATACAGTACAGTGTATAGTACAATTAAATCAAAAAAATATTCCACTATTTCTCTTGTGTCTTAGAGCAAAAGCTTTACGATGAAAGGAAGCTTAAAATGTTTGTCCTTTCCACCATAACAGCAATTGTAACTATCGTAGTTGAACATTATTAACCTGTTGTATAATGTGTGTACGTAGTAGTGCATGGTTGCGACTAACATAGGTTTGTGACACACTAACAGAGAGCAGCGTCAAGCGTGCACCTCCGCCTCCCCCGCCGGAGGACAAAGTGGAGCTCGGCTCCAAGTCCGAGGGCGAGGACGAGCAGCCGCCGCCTCCTGCCAAGCGCGGGTTAGGCAGAACTCCAAACCACCTCACACTCAGGTAAACATATGTATGGGTTATTAGACAACTACACATCGTACCTACACCCGTATTGGTTAAAACACACACTACAACATAGTTTTGTTCCATTCTTCAAATTGAAGTAGGTTTGCTTGTTTCTACTCATACATATGTCACCATTTATTTAATAGTGTTGCCAGATTTATTGGTCTTAACTTGATTTATTGCTATTAACAAGCTTTTGAAGCAATCGAGACTTTAATTCAAAAATCTATTGAGTTTAAGTAGACGTCGTTCAAAATATATGAGGATGTGCTTAATGTCAACATTGATGTTATAAATATTTCTAATTTTCCACGTCTCCCAAAAATATAAAGAACTGGCGACACTAGTGACCCGCCTGCCTTTAGCTAAGGAGTACGCTTATGTAGTTCGTATATATTTCGCAGTACGACTTCGACTCTGAGCGCTGGCAGCACTGGTAGTCAGGCACGACTGATCCAGTCGTCGCATCAACCTACGCAGTATCAACCCACAATGATCAAGGAACTAGGTAAGCAGGAGTCGCAGTCTCTTAAGTCCTCTCCAGAAAGAAGGACATCATCAGTATCTGAGAAGAGAATCAAAGTAATACGATCCTGTAGTGGCAGCAGCATTAATAGAGATAGGTCCCCCAACCGATCTATAGACCATACCTCGCCGGATCGGGATCGCGTCACCAAAGTTATCGTTTGTAAGTCTCCAAGTAAGTCAAGCTTAAAGCAAACTAAAACTTTGCATCGTTCACCTAGAGGAAGCTTTGAACAATCAAGATCTCCTCGTGGATCAATAGACAAGTTACGGTCCCCACAACAAAGCTTCGATGGATCTCGTTCGCCACGCGGTAGCATTATGAAGTCACGTGAAAATAGTATCGATCGTTCTCGTTCGCCAAAGCCCGCACCAAAAAAAGGAATTATGAGAACACCCCAGGCTAGTTTTGATAAATCGCCTTGTAAGTCACCGAATTTAAGTCGACGATCTTCTAAATCAGGTGGAGAGAAGCTAGCCAGACTTGGGACTAATTCTTTAGATAGAATGACTCACTACTCTCAACTCTCAAAAGCTGAAGACAAAGCTATGAAAATGGGTATCGTTGTGTCTAAATCGACTGAATCAATCGCTAAGACTATTGAACAGCCAACATGTGTTCAATGTTACCTTTCTGGGAAAAAACAAAGTAAAACCTCCTAGCATAAGGGGAAGGGCAAGTCCCCCAAATCTCGCCGTAAAGCCATGACATCTCAAATGATTTTTACTTCGTCTGATCGAAGTAGTATTGAAACTTTGGACGAAACACCAATACACGATCGTGCACAATGCCCTTCAGCGCGACATTATAACCGAAATGACATGTATCAAATACATGTGTAAAAGAAAATCAAGTACTCCCTAAATTACCTTAATATAGCAACATCTGCTTGGGACATTACTCTTCCCGAAAAAGGATCACATTCAATGACATGTACACATGTATAACTTTAAATGGAATTAAACTAATACAGCAGTTTTGGCAAACTGCTTAAAACACATAAAAACACCAAGATAAATCACTTGTTAGTGACAACAAGGCATCACTTATCACTCGATATAATACTTCAATGACATTCTTCAGAATTGATTAGCATTCCGTATGTAGAATTGAATGGTATACGTGAAAATGTAAATTGATCTTACATTCGATGTCACAGTTAAGAGTTTGGTTCTAGGTCATAGAGTTGTTTAAAGACTCCTACTGTAGTAATGTACCTCTATAATGTATAAGTAGACAAAATAATAATTACCATCGTAAATATTTTATTGTGAAATTAATCCAATCCTAATTCTAGATAATCCAAGTGCTAAGTGTTACATAATAATGGCTGTGGTATCGTACTGATGTTAATCCTTTAATCACGTTCTTCTTGTTAATTTAATTTGTACTGTTACTATACATCCAAATAGATTTAATATATTATGTAGATGGCCATGGATTTGTATCATTACTTAAGTCTTCCATTTCTAAGTACCTATAAGTAATGATATATTAGTTTATTTATCTCGCAACTCTTCAGTACCTGCTCAAGTTAGTAATAAACTTATTAATTTTTGAAATATATTTCACAATTTTTTTGAAAGCCCAAGATATATTAAACTAAATCCCACTGAATAATACGCGTATAAACCTATTGTTTTTATCGTTGTAATTCAGTTCTTAAATGTATAGTTACAAATATTTACAGTTTAATATTTTAAAACATATATGCACTAAAACGTTTAGAAACCATAACCAATATTTAAGCTTCATATACGAATATGTATAACCCAGCAGCATAGACTGATGTCTCATTGTATTACTTACTGTTGTCATTTACAAAACTAAAAGCCTGTAATACGTTGGTTACTCATTAATTGGCATGCTGTTTTACATGCATGAATATACGTAACGTATTACATGTTTTTATTTTGTAGTAAATGATTAAAAACTCTTCAACCATAATATATTCACGTATGTAAGAAATATAGCGCTATCCAATTTACTAATAAATAAGCTAGCTAGATATCCACATTGTATTCCTATATTATCAGTATAGACAAGTACACTCTTTGTTCACGTAGAGCTTTACCTTAATTCCGTAGCTGTGCACTGATTAGATGTGTCAAAATGGCATCTGTCAAATTAGATGATGTACTCACAAACAGAATACTATATCTTCAGAATACTCTATCTTTAATCAATATTTATTCAATAGAGAGTAAAATATATGTATTAAAATGTAACCATTCGGTGCACCGTAGAACATAAAGTTAACTGTGTGTCTAGGCTACCGCTTTTAAAGTAAATAGATGTATTAAAAGCACTCCATCCACGCTTCATCAGTTAGTGTATAGGTACCATAAAAATCCAGCCATAACCAAGCAGAGCTCGGACCATAACTCTATTTTTTATTTTATGCTCTCCATACATCTTCCTAGTTCATACCTGTGATTGTATGTCATGACAACTTAACCTTATGTTACAGTATAGGGCTGGACTTATTCATGCCCTCAGTCCAAATTTACTTTAATCAATTTTTTGGGTTTACCATGATCGGACTTCGAGCACAGAGCAAACATAAAGTTGTAGGACTTCAACCGATGATGGAATGGGCTTCAAGCTCTGCAGATTGCAGAGTGGTGTTAAGCCCGCTTGAATGTTCGATGACTAGTTCTCGTTCGCGGTGGCGCTCGGCCCCCGCCCCTCCCCCGCCAAAACTCGTCAAACATTCAACTCTTTGGTCGCGCGCGCACTCCCGGCGATCGGTCCGCCCCACCCGTCCAAATTCCGTCATTCTGCCGAGAGATGATATAAAGAGTTCGGTGTTTGGTGTGTTGTAGGATCGCCGGTGTGGAAACCGCGCGACATGTCGAGCGAGGCGGGCGGGGGTGCGGGGGGAGCGGGCGCCACCACGCTGCCGCGCTCCGGCCGACCCGCACCGCGCCACCACCACCTGTCGGCCAGCCGCAAGTCGCTCGCGCCCGACCACCGACACTAACACTACTATACACCACCCTGATACCTATCCCATAATTCGTTTTTTTTTTTGACGTAGGCAATTGTTGATAACCTTTTGCGTATTGGAGGAGGAATCTATGATTCTAACATAGTTTCAGTGCGTTGGGGTTATACCACATAAGCGCAAATTGTGAAATACAAAAACCTTAAGAGATAAAAACATATATTTTGTGTTTAACTGATCACGCACCTAATTCCCAAGATTACTTCTTTAATTATGACTATTATAAATTAGGTATACTTTGCAGTTAAAAAATACCTTTAATGGAAACTTTATACTGGAATGTTGCACTATTGGGAGAGTATTACCCCAATGCTTTTTCCAGGTGTTAAAACCAAAATATATTTCACAAAAGCCTTCTTAAAAACATTACGTTTTTTCTGTTCTATTATGCACTATGTATAATAATTAAATCACATTAATGCAGTTAAGAAACGTAAATTGCATATAAAACCAAGGCTAGTAAATTATTTTAAGGGAAAACGTACAATCATTCTAAGAAAATAATACTCGGGATTTCCCCAATGTACTTTTTCCTGACACCTTTAATGTTGATCTTTATTAGAATATCAGTCAACAATGTCAGTCAACAAATATTTATATTATGATTATAGTATTTTAGACATTGGCCATAGATGATGAATGGATTCCTCCACTCACCACTAGAGTTATCAACTTTGTCCATCGACTAGCGTCCCCGCACAATTTGGCCCCTTTCATGTACTTGGAACTTTTTACATCTACATCTGCCAGTACAATTGAGTTCCCTATCCGCTTCTGCTCAAACTATCCGAAACTCATATTGTTTAAGCTCAAAGTATATATATAAAGCTGTTGTATGTTATTTATTTCTTTGAGTAAGCTCATGTTTTGTGTTAGGTGCATAATCCTGTGCCGATAACGAATAAGACTGCGTGCGGCTCTTGTGTGAGGTATAGTGTACCTAATGATATTAAAATTATTTGACAATATCCTCGTTAGTACACCAAGTTTTATTGAAATCTTGTAAAAATACCGCATTCTGACTGATATTTGAGAAACGAATCCATATATTGTATGCATGATCCCTCGAGATTGCTATTGTGATACGACATGTTGCATCACAATGCATAATTAGTTATGTGGTCAGCAAGTTAAAGATTGACTCAAATGACTTTATTACTGTGTTTTATCTTATTATGGACTTCCCTTTCAGTCAGAATTATTATTTGAAAAATAATGTCAGCAGTACATAAAAATATACCTTATATTAATAGAAAATAAGTTTTATTTATGTTCGACCTACGCAATCCGGTATTAGAAAGGTCGGTTTTGTACCTACTAATGAATGACAATATCAATAGAAAGTGAACAATATAATCAAGTCACTTTTCGTAGTTTCTGGAATATTTTTGTTGGACACAAATATACATTTTATATAAGACCCATGACGATTGAATAAATGGTCATGTAGTTGTACATAACGTGTAGGTCCAGCGAGTATCACGACTCTACAGATGTATTTCTCTTCGTGATGACTTTCTTCTTCAACTTTGTTTGAAAACTCTCTTGGTATTATTTGTACAAATTAATTTTAAATGGACAGCTCTGTGCCAAATTAAGTACTCTCTAAACCTCCCTAAGCTTAAATACTTATCGTGAAAATATTACTGAGTAAATAAATATATCGTGAGAGTAGTTAGCTGTAATGTATTTGCGTTTCATTTCCGTCACATTGGCAATGCTATACTCACTACCCTATAGTTCAAAATGCACTCACCCAATGGAAACGTACACTAGGTAGTTTTGAAAATAATTTCTCTTCGTGATCAAATTCGAAAGTTCTATCATAGGCTAGGTGAATGATATGACATGTTTTCACAATTTAAGTTTTATAATTGATGTATTATAATTACCTATATGTATATGATTGTTTTTTTGCTGTAATATATTGTAAATGTGTTGAATGCAGTCGCGGAAAACTGTAAACTGAAGCGAATTGAACACTTTGAACTAACGACGACGATATTCCTCTTTATGATATACATGTTGTTATCATACTGTGTTCCCTCAAATCAATGTTAATGCTAAACTGTTACTTAACAGTAACGTATTACTTAACAGTAAAAGCAAGAAGCTATTAGTATGTCTAATAATATATGATATTGAGGATTGTTGGAGTCTATAGACTATATTAACGGAATGGCCACATCAAGTCGGCAGCATTTTGGTTGTTTTTCATGTGTGTCGGGACATATCATCGGCGACGGTACTCACTCGTTCAGCTTATAGGTTTCTCGTGGTCTTGTAACTGTTTGTGAAGTATTTAACAGTTACCTGGTATATCTATACACTGTATGTATTTATGACGTTTACATTATAACTGTGTAATATGTATGTTGTCACCACACACATAATATTTTCAACTTTATATATTGTTTAAGTGTTTGTTTTTGGGACTTATCGAAATAAAACCTGTTTATTAATATACATATGTTAAAATATTCGAATTTAATAATTACGAACTTATACAATCAATTTATAGATATTAATATACTAAGAAAATTATAATTAATAAAATGAATAAACAAATATGAGTGAAAAATGAAATGAAGAATGAGCTCATTAATTGCGATTGTATTTCATACTTCAATGACATTTGAAAAGTAATGTAGGGGAATGAATGAATATTTAGAAAGACTTATTGAAGTAAAATACGAAAGTAACTAATGTTTTATTAGGTATTGAACTTTATAATTTGACGTCATTATGAATTGCTAACTCTGTTCAGTTATCATGTTATGTAAGTATATCGACAGATATGTGACCGTTGTCAAATTCCTTTACAGATTTTGAAAATCTAACTTGTATTACTTATAAAACACCTGCACTCTTATTGTTGTATATCATTTGTTTAAAATCAGTATATTACACGTTTAAATTTTCTCCTCAGATATATTGAGGTCAGTATGTATGTTTTTGCTGTTGAGTATTCTTCTAGTCACTTCTGGTTAACAACATTTGCGTTATATTGTATAATTAAAAGTGCCTTCACATATTTTGAACAAAGCATGCACGTGTAGTGTAAGTTCCATAAGTGATTGTGCAGAAATCTTTGGAGTAATTTGGCGACACAGGCTAAGTGGGAAATGATATTGAATCTAGTTACCTTTAGTGGCTTCCAAATCAACTAGTCTAATTTAAAAATTTAAGTATTTATTGTTTTTTCTTGAATACTTGATATGTTAAATTTTGTGACACGTATGGAAATTACTTTTGATTGCTTATGAATAAAGATAAAATATAACCACAGTTTTTAATTTAACTACTAAAATCCTCTCAAAGTGAGTAGGAAGTATTACTTCATACTTCAAACTTACACCTAACTCAAATCAATAAAGCAACTCTACTAGAATTTTACAGTGATAAAGTTTGCCCCGCTACACAATAAGTTAATTGATGGTTTACAGCCTAATATCATGCCGCACATGCGTCTTGACAGCATGATAGTTGCCCTCTGCCTTACAGGAGAAGTGTAAAAGAATTGTTAGATTCTAATTACCGGTCTTTCACCTAAGTTTTTTTTAAGAATTACTATCCAGACTATTAGGTATACCTTGTTAGATAGCTGAGAATATGTACGTGTTTTTAACAAATCTGCAGTTTCTCAACTACATAGAAATATTAAAAAAACATAAAAAAGGATACAAGTTCTAAGAAAATTGTATTAGGCAAAATTTCGGCGATTTTCATAAAAAAAATTAAAAGGCTTACAATTGATATTTTTGGGATATGGCATTTCACAGTAAAATCTATCAGATTTGATGGCAACTACAACCCCTTAAAGTATTTAGGTCGACTTATCCAGTAACCCTGTATACCTAATTATCAATACAGCATGGTCAAATGCCTATTCTAAAAATGTATTATTTTTAGAACAGATAACTCTCTTCAATTCAAGTAAAAAAAAACTGTTGCAACCTTTTTACAGGTATCAATGTAGTTTTTTCTCATCTTATTTTAAACCTCACCTTGTCATTGAGCTCAGGATCTATGTACGAGTATTCTGTAGTCACGTTAAAGCCATGGAATACACATTAAATTAACCTTTAATATGAAGAATGAAATGGTTTCACTGTTTTATTGGCGAATTACTTTACAGTCCGATATTTTGTTTGACAGTTGTATATGCAGATCTGAACTAGTATCCGATCTTGACGTTTTGTACAAAGTAAGATGTAAAGTCTTTTTCATAAAGATATGTCGTCGTGATAAAAGCGATCAGTTGTACATGGTACAGGGTATCTATTCCTAACACCTATCGGAAACTCGATCAGAGAGGCAGACTCAAACGCGTCTTTTAATTTGGATGAAATCTGAAGAAGTAGAAGATAAGTAACCTAACAAAGTTTTAAAAATATTTCTCCATTGATAATATTTCTTAATTTATTTGGCAATTATAGTTAATTTTCTTGTAGTATCAGTAAGTTGTAAAGAAGTATAAATAATACATTTAAAAACTCAATTATGTTAAAAAATTAAAATTCGGAAGCGAAAAAAGGAAACCTATTTTAATTTTGCCATGTATATTCTCTCTGCTATGATTTTTATCGTCTGAATTCCTACATCATTACTTTTTCTATGTATATATTGGTTATCGATCACAGATTAATTAACATTTGCCTTAGATAAACTTACGGCAAATAATTTTGGCAATACATCTAAACAGCGTTTATTCTTCCATCTTTACAACTTGGCGCCAGTCTATTAAATGATAGCCAACAATATTATCGGTACAATGTGTTTATTAAATCGTACATCGACGTCAATAAATCAAACGCTTCAGTGTTTCTGGAATCAAAACCTTACCATTTGCTAATAAAACAGATTTTCTAAATTGATATGAGTGAAACATTCAAAATATAATTAAGTATGTATTTACAAGGTTAATAATTATTATAACTAGGTAGGTACACAATATTTTGTAATTTTATATTTTTTTCATTCAGTAACTTTAACTGCGTCAACAAATTTACACAAAACTTACAAGTCTAAACTTTGTTGGCCTATATTTCCTCAACAAATAAGAAACAAATATAAAGAACAATTCACTCATACCCGATTAACAATAGGTAAAACTATGGAGTTCTATAATCTACACCATTTCAAAACATTTAATTTTATTACACTCATTTCATTATTTATTGAAATATTTTTGCTATAGGTTTGTTAGGTAAATAATATTATATTGGTATGTTTTTGTAAAGTATAAAATATTATAAAGAATAAATAAAGTTTCAATGTAAAAGATGAAACAGAATACTATTTATATTTAACATAAAATGAGGCATATCTAAATTGAATACAATACCTTTGAAAGGAAAAAAAATCAAGGAAAGGGCCATTGTCAAATAAAAATAACTACAAAATTGACAAACTATACAAAAGCGTTAACACATGACAACACACAACAACTTTGATGGTAGACAATTTGTGAAATAGTCAATCGGGAAGCTCTATCTGTGAACACCTATATTATATAATTTTAACTTTATAGTACGGCTTTAGATCTCTCTACAGTAGAAATTATATCCCATCCTAGTACTTAAACAAATAACAATAGGACTATCTAGAGGATGCACATATCGTATAGTACATAATGTATGTGGCACTGGCTACAGTTATAACCATCACCGAGACGCATCGGTGAATCGACGTAGTTTTTTTAAACTTGTCTTTTATTGTAAGCCTTGCAATTACATTATTGTTAAATAATATACCTTAATTATGTTCACATCCAAATAACACTAAAAATCGGAAGAAATGGTGTACATTCTACGTAGATCACTTTCATATCTAAATTCAATAACCTATAACTAAATAAATACAATAGGAATAATTTAAAATTCTTAAAGTAAACACTAGACGCTGAATCAAATTTCGTTTCCGCCTTCAAAAAGAATGTTTTGCAAGAACTTAATTCAGTGCACACCACAATCATTTATTAATTTTTATTTATTGTATTACATGTAAAGATATTATTAAATAACTCTTAATAAGTTCATTACAATATCTAACAATTAATGAAATATTCGGTTTAAAAGAAGTTTCATTACGCTATTATATTATGGTGTTTCATCAAATTATGCTAGAATAAAATTCATCCATCCTAATTTCATATCATATTAAATACGTAAGGCACTCCATTAATTTTGCTGTTTTTTTTTTTATCGAAAGAGATCGAAAATACTGACGCACAGGTTTCCTCTATAAAAATGAAGACCATTGGAAGTTTCTGTTTTCCACGCACCGCATATTATAAGTTTTTTTTACAATCATTAAGCTCGAAACTAATTAGTAAACATTTTAATTATTTATACGAAGACAGGAAGAGTTTTGACGTCCAACATAATGTAATTTATTGTTTTTGCTTGGTAGACAGTAACTCTTATAGTAGCGTCTGATTCGTTGTGGATCAAATGTAAAATAATTTCGAATATATAGATACGGTCTATCTACCGTTGACTGTACATCTACGTTTATATTACAGTTTAATGTAAAGTATGTTTATGTTAGGTTTAATAAACTCTGCTGTAAAAAGTATGTATGACAGATGAATATTTCAAATTCAACTACATATTGTTAATACAAATTTATTATATTTAATAAGTACACCGTTAACAAAGTGTACTAAAATAACCACATACATGTTCACACAAACAATCTATCACAGGCACTAACGACAAAAATGAATATTTCGATACCTATATCGTTTTACTATAAAAAAAAAGAAATTTCTAAATGAAAAAAGAAAATATATGGTTGTAAATCTACAAACGAATACACGTTACACGATGATTTGTCAACATTTAGTACCGACGAGCATGAGTCGTAACTTGTACTTGTCGCAGTTCTAATTCAAAACGGGCAATAAAAATCACGACAAATACTCTACTTCAACGTTGTTGGACCCCTAAATATTTAATTAAAAAGCAATTATATTCATAAGTAATCTCTTTAAAACTTTTATCAAATTTAACTAACTATTTATACCTACAAACATGACTTTTTTTATTACTTCCTGAATAATTTTGAATGATTATAATAGGTCCGCGCGGCGTCTTGTAGCCCCTTGAGTAATTTTTCTTCTGTGTTGTAACATCTTGTAAATAATATATTTCTTACAGATAAATTTATCAACAACAAGCAATCAAATAGGACAGTGCCAAAGCGTTAAGAGAACAGATTTGTACACAGGATTAAGATTTTCACTATAATTTTTTAAACAAGTGTCATTAATTATATTACAAGCTACTAATTTATTTATTATTGTTATTTATTTAAAGTTGCTATAATTTTCTTTAATATCCCACAAAATTTGTAAAGGGTTTCGTTGAGCTTATTGCGCATCGATCGTGCACGCGGCAGGGTTGTGTATATTTGTCTAAACGTTGGTCCCTATAATTGCTATTGTAGTTTCTTGTCGTACATAGCAACGCGGAACGGGGCGAATGACACCGCGCGATTAGCGGCCGGGCTCTCCGAATAAAGGCACATTGAGTCATGATTTGTTATCCTAAATGCAGTACCTAACATTCCCATTTCCCCACATTAACAATATGTCTCATTTTTTAATGTTGGCCTAAAACTAGTCAAAGGGAATAACTAATTAATAAATCTACTTTATAGGTATATGAATTAAGTCACACCACTATTTTATCCGGTCGCTTAAACTTTCGTACACTTTAGTAATTTCGACATCACATTATTATACTTCTATGACATTCAACTTTTTTCTACTCATTTTGGCAACATGGTGGTGGAACTACAATTTGTCTAATATTACTAAAAGGCAAATTTGCCTAAAATTATAGCTAGAACAAAGACAACACTTAAAAGTTGTCTTCGCATTTGATCTCCCTAGAAGCAGGCTGCGACGACCATTGAGGCTCGATCGGACCGTCCCAGTCAGGATATGAATCGTACAAAAAACTATCAGCAGCGTCGTCGTCTACTGCTGTTTCTGTTCGACTGAACGCCTCGGCAAATTTCCCAATTTCAGTGGAGCCAAAAGCTTGTTGGAAGGCAGGTAGTGGAACTACGGGCGGCGGGCGTTTCTCTTCAGGAGGAGAGCGTCGTGGCTCTAGAGAAAAGCGCTCAAACCGATCGCGCACACCACGTGAAGTTTCAGTCTGAGCCACACTACATGTGAACTCAGGTGTATTTCTGTGCCTCGCGCCATGTTCTCGTTCATTAAAAGGCATATCTTCGTAAACAGTATAGGGCGTAGATCTTCCATCCGGCTGACACGTTTGATTTTGACTATGCATGCTCTGTAATTTTAAGCAAAAACGTGATAAGAATTGATATTCGTAGATAGATAATAAAGTAGTATAGATAGATGGTATGTATACGTATTGCAATATCAAACACAATGTTAATTAACACCTTCATTGGTCGACATTCGGCAGAATACCGCATGCGGTCACGCGAGCACGCACTACGCGGTGCCCACCCGCTGTTGACAGCGTTAGCGCCATTCCAACCACTGCCACCGCCGCCGCCACCCATAACACCCATCTATTAAAAAGGTTAAATACTTTTGTAAGACGTGTTTTTACTAGACAATTCTGTTGGAACTGTGAAGCGGGGTCGAAAGCAGTTGTAGGTTAACTTGTGGTTTCCCAAGCAAATAGTAGCATAAATAGAGACTTGGATCTCATTATAAAAGAGATGAGTATAGATAAACGTTGTGGAATAATATACTCGCACAGTTTTGTTTCTGATGTCGTTCCATAACGTGTCTTGTGAGTAGGGTCGGCACAAGCTCATACAAAAATGTATGACTTATTACTTATTAGCGTCAAACTACATGAAAAGCGATAATATTTTGGGGCATTGATAGGCTGGGTGCAGGGTTGTTATTGTACATACACTTTTAGGAACGTAAACGTAATAAATCTCTAAAATCCGTTACATCAACTAATTATAAGTCATCGATGCTCATTTGAAAAGGCGGACGTAGTTACTTAAAAAAGTAATAAGTGCCAGATAGGTACACTATTTATTAATCATATTTTAGGGAACAGTTTACGGAGACCGGTTAATAATTCTAATTGAAAAATGAACGTGCGACTTAAATCACTACAATTAGATATATAAATAAATATATAAATTATTATCTAAAAAGACAGCTAACTTTTTCATACAAAATGTAGTGAAATAAAGAAAATGCGTCAAACGGGCCACTGCACGAGTCCAGTACATCCATGTGTACCATGTCGGTACGTAAGTTCAAATTATAGCCATAATAAAACAAAACCAAAAAAAATTTCGTATTCCAAAATAGTCTTAGTTTATTAGTAAACTATGTGTACTAAAAATGAGAGCTTTTATATAAGCGTTGAGCTTACTCTTATCTTTCTCAATGTAATTAATTATTTGAATAAAAGGGTGTAACACTGTACCTGATAATGCGGCCACATCTGCGGTTCGCAGTACACAGGACCCCGGCCGTTCAATCCACATTCTAGTGGTGGCTGAAACGTAAACATGGAGTTTATTAAATCTATTGACTGTCTTTTATTCTGCCTTTTGTACGGAAAGGACGTTTCAATGGTGTTCACATATACTTATTATTCATTCCAAGTGTTTGCAATATTTATTATAAAACGCTATGTTTACATGTTTGTTTTGTACACATGTAAATGTCTTGTACTCCTCTTCGTATGATATCGACATTTCTTTTAGAGAGTTTTATATTGTGTAATACTAGTATCAACCTTTTTAATTAATTATATTTATTAGGGTTCCATACCTCAAAAGGTAAAAACGACACCCTTGTAGGATCACTTTGTTGTCCGTCTACCTGTCAAGACCCTTTACCTCGAGAACGCTTGGAGGTATTGAAATTAAAACCATACACCAAGTAAGATCTACAGTCCCTGGAAGCTGTGAAAAAATCGATAAAGATAAAGATACGGCCATTTAATCCGCAAAAAAAAACCCCATATGTCTACACTCTCACGGAAATCAAATTTAATTTATAAATTATTCAATCAATCATTTATAAATCATAAACATATCATATCAATCATAAAAAAATTAGTCTTTATTTAAACTACGTAATCAATTATCAAAGTACAATTTCACTTATAAAGCATAATAACATAAGTAATTATAAGTTTTGCAACCAAATTTTGGGAAAAGCTCGGAAAAAACTGTGAGACTCCATTCCTGAACAATTTATAATATGTATCTTCAAATTTGTACGGAATCCTCGGTGGGCGACTCCGACTCCCATTTGTCCGGATTTTTTTTCTATACAACTTAGTGGTGGTTACCAATTATACACAATCTTGTGTTTATTACAGACAGTTTATAGACTATCAAACCATGTTCATCGATTATCGTACCCACAGTCAATACAAGCCTTTGTAAATAATAAGACGGCAAAGTAAAACAATAGCTTAATTTATTATATTAATTAATTAATTAATTGGCACTGCATAACTACAATAATACAAAAATATTCGAAACTATTATTTTTAAAGGAAGAGGTTCTATGTTCCGACTGCACGGATGGCGCAGTGGTTTAAGCGTTCACCTCGCCGCTTCCTACTGTCCTGAGTGTTGTGGGTTCGATCCCAACAGTGTTCTTTACGTACATTTCATGAATGTTTGTGAAGTCCCCCTGTGACACAGTACAAATTCCTAGTGCCTTGCCGTGTAGTTGCCTTTAAAAAAAGTTGAAAATAAAGAAAAAAATACTTTACAATAATTTTGACACTGTTCTGGTAATAATAATAAGTTCTGGTAATATTAATAGTCATATCACTGTAGTTGTTAAGTATCGTACACAACCTAGGTGAGTTTGAACAAGGCCGGGTCCTTCGTAATGGCGGGCAAAATTATAACATATATTGATATAATAATATAAATCAGTTTACATAAGACACACACGCGCATTGAAGTTGTAGTAATTATTACAAGTCCTATTGTTCCTATCCCTTACACAACACATAGTTTCAAATTATTGTACAGTCCGCAAAAAGTATGAGAGAAAGTATGACATTGACATTATGACAAGTATAAAAAAGAAAACTTGAGAAATTTTCAAAACATTATTTCTAGAATTCGACCAAGTATCAAAATTAAATAAGAATCATAACTATCTATATTAATATACTTTTCCACCGACGATTAAATGGCAATACATCCATCACTCGACGTGTGTCTAACCTTAAGTTAAGTGCTGAATCAACGCAAAAAAATGCAACATCAAACTTGGTAAAAACTACAAAACTCTATGATCTAAATTTAACAAATGTTCGTTTGTGTTCGCTTTAAAAACTTAAAAAGTTCTGCACTGATTGAGCTCAAATTTTGACACGGTATACAACCCGCTTCAAAGATTGTTTTATCTATTTTTCTAACAAGTTTTGTTCCTTATTTTATCAATGCAACCATAATATGCTACAACGACGTGTGGCAAGGCGCAGCTGGTAATTTAGACAGAAACATTATAATATTACATAACCGACGGGCTTCATACCAACATAGTAATATGTGGGGATATCGTCAGTAATAAAAAAGTACAGTACGATAAATAAAGATTCAACCCTACTGAATTGAAGATTCCAAAAAACCAAATTAGATTACTCATAGTTGGTAATATTTCAATACTGCTTTCACAACATAAATAAATAAGTGAAGGACTCACTTCAACTTAATGAAAATTAAACTTGTTGCTCAATCCATAAACTTTTACTAAGCATAACGATGCCAGAAAATCATGATATTTAAATTGATGCTAAATTGAAATGTGTGCACAACATGTACACGAGATAATGTTTAGTGTGGTGGACGCGGAGTAAGCGAGGCGGGTGGAGGGTGGTCGCGCCGCCGATCGATGCCCGTTACTCCCTGTGCACCGTTGCGTTGCACCAACTGCATTCATCATCACACATCATCGATAGACCTTTTTTCCCAACTTTTTAATTTCGAATAGTTCATGTTTATAAACATTATACTCCTATATTCAACTTATTCTTAATATGTTTTCTGACCTTTTGTTTTCGGAAACGGCTCAAAAGTCATTATAGGTATAGTTTGATAGAGACAATCGCGCTACGCAGCTACGTTGTTGCTACGGAGTGCTACGCGATTTTTGCACTTTTACTTTTGCTCTAGTTTTTACGAATGTAATTGTTTGTCCTTTCTTAATATAATATTTAGTAAATCATTGCTATGGTGTTAGTAATCAGTAAATATTAGTAATAGGTGTTTAATTTTTCTATTTGTATTTTTTAGCTTAAATAAAAAAGTTCAAGTGTACGCTTCAAGTTTAGGCGCAAACATTGAAAGTTATAAACTTATAACCTTAGATAAAGTTTAAACGAGTTGAAAGCTGTTCATGTGTGGGGGAAGTAGAATAGTGTCGGGAGATTCGCAGAGGCTAACTAACTATCGAGCGGCAAGCGGCGAGCGTGCGGCGCGAACCACGTGACTTATCGATCAGCGCGGCGCCCACGACACTCGGAAAAATCAACCGCTGACAGCTTTCATAGGCCACCTCCACCTCTCGGCTCACACCCGCGCTCCACCCTGCCTCGCGCCTCGGCCCCGTCCCCGCCCTCATTAGCGCCTTTGTGACGCTCACTTGTCTCGTAATATGACGCCGTAATGATACTACTTACCACTCGATAATTCGAACATTTCTACTAGTTGACAATCCTAATCAAGCGGTACATGATAAAAACGAGAGTTTCTTATTTACACTTTGTTACTTGTTGTGAAAGATGTTTCTCAGATCGTTCTTACACCAAAACTTTATAATATAAACTTATATTCTGCGTAACCTCATCAAAAGTTTTCTAACATCTAAAAAGATTTACGACATTACTCTCATCATGTTATAAACTACACAAATACAATATTTTGAATGCAATGTTTCATGTAAAATATCGAGAACATATATGTCAATTTCGATACGACATATTTTTTTGCATTGTTTAGTAATCTGACTTTACGTGACTATAGTAATGTAGAAACAAAATGAAATCTTTCGGCTTCATTATGAATGATAATTATTATAGTTTAAAAAAGTTATCACCTGACCAAAATCATGTTTTTTTTTAGTTATCTGTATTCTTAATTTTTAGCTCTTAGAGGTGTACTTTCTTTAAGTTTAAAGAACACAAATCTTGAAAAGAGAGCTATTAAAATTAGTTCACATAATGGCGAAAAACTCGCGTAACATGCTCCAAAAAAAAACTATGGAACCAAAAACCTCTTTCCTTTGTAGCTGACTAAAAATAGTGCTGTGCAGTGTGTTAATATTCTATTACCGTATAGAAAATGACAACAAACTTTCGTTTGAGCCAGGCATTTCAGTATTTGCACCATAAACTTTACAAGACTGCATATTTTAGCGTATTGTTTGAATTGCAACTCTACGGATAAACACTTATGAATGATAATATATGAATGTCGTGCAAAGGAGTGAACGGTTGAGCACATGAGGATGTCAACTGTCCTGTGACACTGACCTACATAATTTTAACTAGTCTTTTTGTGACCTATTCTATAGGTAATTTAATAATTTAATAAACGGTATACTGCTACTTAAACGTGCGTTAGCATACAACGTGACAACGTACAAGTTTAGAAAGAGAAGAGACAGACTAGAAAAACGAGATTCTTGATTCAGTTGATTTCTTTGTAAATATTAGGTATCAATTGTTTTGATTGAACAATAATTTCATTGAATTTTTTTATCCTTTTACTCGCGGTTTTTTAATATTCAAATTATTTTATAAACAGGTTTTAATGGTAATTACCCTTTTAAAAATGTAGATTGTAATCAAAGCAGCTCAGCGCAGTTTCGTAAATTCTAAACTTTTTATAATAGGAATGAATGAATCAGCTCATGGTAATCGACTATTAGACATAAACGTCCCAATATTCGTTACAGAACTCCATGCCGGAATAAAACAAACTTTCCTAAAATTGTAACCTTTGACAGACTTTGAAATAAATCTAATTTAAGATGACATTGCTCTCCTAGTCTTTCCAACTATCTTGATCGGAGTAGAAAAGAAGATACCATACCATAGAATATTATGATAATTTCAAGATCTGTTATCGTTTAACATTTACGTTCTATGTATCTCATAGGAATATTGTAATAGATATGTATCAGTGGCACCACGTTATTTGCATGAACATTGTAAAAAACGACCTATGCCCCACGACATGGTTAGATGCGTTCCATTGCTATTTGGTATTAATATTTCTGTTTTATAGTTATTGGGTTTTAGTATTTAATGTTCCTTATTGAGTTTCAGGAATAATAACAAACAGTCTTTTTGGCATATGAATTTCTACAACAGAGAAATTACTATAGGAACTAGATTTAGTGAGAATGTGCTATAGTTTTTTATTTGTTTATTAAAATTAATTATAAAGTATTATATTAATTTAATTAATTTAAAAAAAAGATTAAACTAAGTACGTATCGTATCGTAACAACACTAAGTAACGTATCGTACGTTACTTAGTGTTGAGAAAATTATTGAATAAAAAATGAAAATAGCAAAAATTACATCTATAAGCCTGTTACGGTCTTAGCTTCAAATAATACTAACATTTGAGAATCGAGATTAATAACGCGATAAAGTCTCGGTTTACACATTTAATGTATATAATCCTTAAAGTTTAATATTTGATAACTCCTGATTTTTAGTAGTTTTTTTTCAAAAATGTGTCTATATTTTTTATAAAAAAAAGCGTAGCTTAAGTCGCAGAGCAAATTATAGCTTTGTTCAACTCTATGTTGACGAATACAGTGCTGACTACTAACGAAACACAACCTGTCTTTTTGTGTGCAATAAAAATAGCAACAAAGACTACAAAAAAACAAACAAATAAATTCATATGATTATTTATTAATATATATTATTGTTCGTAATTAATCCGTCATTTTACATATAGATCTTTTAAAAGTGGCTACGAGTTTATAAAACTTTAATTCGTTATTTTAAAACCACTTTTATATTGTATAGACTACAGAAAATATTTTGATAAGACTGGCGTTTTTGTAATTGGAATTTGGAATTTTCATAAATTCAGAAGGTTCTGGCTTAGGTGTTCTGAATTTACAAACAAGACACTTGTTGTGGCTCACTCTGCATGCATATTCCAACTTAGACATTACAATTGCGAATATGAATGTTTTTGTTCGTGATCGTCATGTTCATCATGACCATAAAGTTTTACACTACACACGTTATCAATGTAAACAATGGACATGGAAAAGTTGAATTCGCCTTTAAAGCTCATTTTTAACACGCTTTTATTAGCGTGGGTAACGGCATCTTCTACTGTGATTTTTACTCACTTCAAAATTTCGAATTAAATTTAAACTTTGCACACTTATCAAGGACCGATAACAATGCAATAATTTAAATAATTTGTGCAATTATCCATCAGAATTAACGGATTTTTCCATACCTAAAAATACGGTAGTGTCTTTTGCCACGTACTATGACTTATGATCCACTCCACGAATGCACGAAGCAAGCAACGGTACGAGAGGAATGGCGACAAATTGTGAAGCTTGCCACCGCCCCGGTCATGACGACCACGACCACTCTGACAAGAGTGTGACGACGGAGAAGAGAAGATGACTTATGCTAAAGCACTCTTAATAAGACAATATTCATCATTAATGACTAAAAAGAAAAATAAATTAAAGTTTAAAAAATACTAATAAACAGGCTTCTGTAGCTAGCTGAACTAAAAAGTAGGAAAAAAAATTCTATAAGTTCCAAATGAATCATCATTTTATCGTAAAAAAACATGGGGTGCTTTCCAAGGTAAGTATTTTATAATGTAATAACTTTACTTTACGAATATCTGTCAGTAAAATATTTTTACAACAATTAAGATCAAGCACCTCACGCTTTTATTACGATAAAATGATTTTTCTTTTTGAACATATAAAAAGTTATGACCTACTTTTTAGTACGGCTAGCTATTAAAGTTTTTTTAACTATAATTTATATTGTAATAATTTGAGTACTTACCGTGGGGGGCAGAGGTAGGTGCTGCGTTGGAGTCTGTGCACGCTGATCCCTCCGTGCAAGTGATCGCCGCACGCGCGTCTCCTTCGACGCGTATGCGCCGTAATCTGACATACAAATACACAAATCAAACATACTATTCATTTTATAAATAATAGAATAATGTAAACAACTGATATGTTATGGTTATCGGTCACAACTTCATAATATTTTTAAAGGAAATATCTTATTAATGTCAATGAGAACATTCATCGTTCTAGATATTATTTATTTATAAATAGAAATATTCAATGAGAGAATTATTATATTTTTAAACTACAGATAAGGTCTGCATAGTACGGCCATAACAGTTGTTGCACCAATGAGGCGATGGTTGTTAGGGTGTAGGTTGCTAACGCGATGTCGTTTATGAGGCATATTTTGTTTAAACAAAAATTCGTATGAACCTTAAATCAAACGAGACTTTACAGTACAGGGATCTAAATTGATTACAATTACAATTGCTTAATTATGTTATAATGATAATCTAAAAAGATTCAACAAGAATTAATAACAAAACGAAATAGCAAGGAAGATTTTTCAGTTAAAAATATATTTTAACAACAACAAGAAAACTAAGATTTTAGAGACGTCTGTTGGAGAATCATGTCAATCTTCTGGATTCACTAATGAGCAACAATGAGGATATGAGTCCCTTTCTTTTCGAAACCCCCACTGGTCATCATCTCGCCAGTGTTATCGTTGAAGTGATTCAAGATCCGTTACAAGTAAACTAAAGTAAACGAAGAATTTGTCATTTGCTAAATTTCTAGTAATATAATGCGTACGTGTCTGCTTTATCTATTTCTAAAAGCTGAAAACTATATTAATTAATCTAGAACTAGTTTTAACGCTGATATTTTCCGACTAGTGCCTGAAGGGACAAAGCAGAGGTATCGTATGTCCTCAACAAATCAATACCTTTACACACTGGTCGGGGACAGCAACCAGCCAAGACTACAGTGCAGTAGTGTAATAATACTGTGTATCTAATTATCCTCATTAAAAAAGGAGTTATGATGTTAACTTTTATCGTACCCCGATTTATTTGCAATAGTTATGTATTATATAATAAAGAGCTTTAAAAATATGATTAATAATAAAAGATTATTTAATCTGTTTTACTTATTTTACTAGTATTTTGTTATTCTCCTTTTTTTATAAAGTATCGTCATTAGCACCGTTTGTTTAAGTTTATAAGTATTAAACAGAAAAAAAAAATGTCATTCATCTAAAATTATATTTATTAAACGTTCCCCAAATAGTGTCACGTTGTGTTTTGCACCCACTTCTCCCTAGAAGGGTGACAAGGCCTTCCAAGCACGGACGAGGCCACTTGTTTAGTGATCGGAGGCCAAGGCTTGTCGACGTTGAAGGACTCAGACTAGTACCACGACGTTCGAGGCCATAGGGCACTGAGGCTTTCCGAAAAATTTCGGTCTGATTTGTTCTACAAGTAATGGCTCAAAAAAAAATTGTTCAGTTTCTAAATTTTAGCATCCTAATCATAATCTAAATAATAATATGTTTACAGGCAAGAAGATTAGAATTTTTTAAATTATTTCCTCTAAATTAAAATACAAATTATTCACTGTCGAGTTTAATTGTTCAAAGAACTTCATCTACATATTCATTAATCGCTGACCTGACGATGACATCTCATTTAGTGACGGATGTATAAACTTGAATTATGTAGTAAACAAGACAATTCTCGACCATTTTGCATTACAAATTTAAGCATGGATCAGATTTAACGTAATATTATATTAGGCGTGCGCTTCCTATCATTCATGCGAAACTCGTTACATGTTTTACGTAGCGTTTAAAAGAAGTTGACGGTGGATAGCAGCACGGGTGCCAGTACACCGGTCAATATGTAGAGTGGTTGTGCTGTGCAGGCGATCAATCGCGTTGCGGCGTGGGGAGGCCGGGGTGGAGGGGCGGGCGACCACCTGTAGCGCACCCTTCCCGCCCCGGCCCGCGTCCTCTGACATCGACACGTGACGTAGACACCGAGAAATCCGCCCAAACGTAAACATTAATTCTTACTTCATTCTTCATTGTTCAGAATGTCGCTTCGCGCCACGCGCGCGGATTCCGATCTCTGTTGTATTGGTAAACAAATTGAGCTCGACGCACACTGTCCGTCGCTAGGCATGTAATTGTGCTAGCGAACACTATTGTAATATCAAACAAATGTAAAATAGTTCTTGATGTAATTTAACTAGGTTTAAGGCATTAGTTGTTTATAATAACGTATTATTATATGTTTGTAGGTATGAACTTGTGATTACCTTTCACATAATGTAAAAGTAAAAATTCTTTCGAACTAAGTTGATTCTGCAGTCAAGTTACTTTTTTATTTTACATAAACTACCAGTCAAAGTTCAATACAAAGCAAAACTTTTTAAATAGTAACACAGTAGGTACAAAATTGCAAGTGATTATGTTTTTTTTATTATTTATCTAACAAATTAAACAATACCTATTACTTGCATCGGTCGGAATGTCGCAAAACTCTAAACGATACCTACTTTCGTTTAGATTTTGATCATTTGAATTGTTAACACTTTGACATCGAGACAAAATCAAATGATTTCACTTGATAGCTGACTAGCCTGTGTATTTGGGTTTTTCATTTGTTTTAGAAATAAAAGGTAGTCCATATCCGCTATTAAATGTTAATAATATATTGGTTCGTAATCAGTTAAGACACTATTTTATCCAAAAGGATATAACTTATCCTAAACATAAGTATTGGCACTTTTATAATTTTCCTTCAACTTGCGGGTTGTAATTATACAAGATCGCTTACTATGTTAATCTCGATATCAGTTCTTCTGCAAAAGTTTACTGATTTTATCCCAATATATTAGTTAAGGTGATAAAATCATAAACCTTAAGATTAAACGTGCTTTCAGTGTCAAAAATTAATTTAAAACTTGAAATTTACTTCAATTCCCTACTTTTAAACTAAATGAAATACTTTTTAAATTTACAAGGTTGTGCATAAACACTACCCGACTGCCGCAATATGTTACTGTAAAATAACAAGGATCGAAGCATCAAACTAGACAAGTAGCTCGTAACACGTGTTTAAACTGTAAAATCAAAAATAGCAAAAAATCTGTCTACTTAAATATAATTATACATTTGAGTATATCAGTATAAATATTTTACAATAGGATACCGACCCATAGGCATGGCATGATCAGCGTGGTGCACGTGGTGGGTGGGGTATTCATAGCGGTAGTAACGCGCGTAGGGATCGTGCGCGTGCGCCGCGTGGTAGTGGTGCGCATAGGGTGCGTAGGACGCATAGGGCAGTGGCGCGTATGAGCCGTAGCCCTCCCAGCCGGCGCCCGCGCCGTACTGCCCGTGCGCGCGGTACTCTCCGTACTTGCAGCAGTCCATGACTCCGCGTGCCCTACGCGCCCTTCGGCGCACTCGCATCTCGCGCCCTCCGACATCCTCGACGCGCACCGCACCGCCACATCACCGCACTCTTACGATTATTCTACCCTGCCACTAATCTCACACGAAGCTCTCCAAGTTCATCACTTTAAATCCCACTGTTTATACCCAATTTCAATAACATTAAAGTATTCAGTAAAGTTTCTTTAAAGTAAATTTTCTAAAGTCTGAAAAATAATTGAGAGCGCGGTGAATATCGCGTGGAGATCGAGCGCAGTTTCGCGGCGGGAATCGGACACGGGTGCGACGTTAGTTAGCGAAAAGAGGTCGTTCGAGTTTGCCGACGACGACGAGAGATTCGATGGACGAGGGCGGTGGCGGGGCGCGGGCCGCGAGGAGGGGCGACGCCCGCTCGCCGGCGGCTCGGCGCAGCGCGGCGCTCGACGGACGCCGACTGAAGGCGTCGCGGAATCGATACGTCGCCGCCGCCCGCGGCCGCCCGCGCCCGCCCGCACTACCTGCCTGCGCCCGTATTGCGCGCGAACTTTGTCTTCCCCGACGGAATTTTATATTTAGAACCATGGTGAAACGATTGATCGATACTTTGCACTATTAATTAGTACCTACACACTTTCATTAGACATTCCGATAAATAAAAAGCGACAACTTATGTCGCTGTTTCCTTAATATTTTATTAAAGTTGTCACAGGTGAACTCTGGCTACGATTTATTGTCGATGGCACAAACTATTTCCATAAATTTAATTTCACAATGTAATCCTGTAAATAAGTTCGTAAGTTACAATAAAAAAGTTTTACATGTTTTATATGCACCCAATTAGGGACACGCATTGTTGGTAGTCATGTGGTTAATACTTGCAAAGTTTTATCGAATTGCGCGTAGGCGGCAGTGACCCACATCGGTGACAATCATGTGGCGCATCACCCGCGCCCTTCGTCCTTCGGCTGGCTAGACCGTGCTCAACTTTCAATAAAAACGAGACGTCATAAATACTTACGAAAATATACGCTGACTCCATACTTATTAGTTAAGTTTTCGATGAAACTTTTACAAAAGTACACATTTATAAGTTACCGCAATATATTATAGTAACTCGAATTTAATTCCCATTGGAAACTTGGTACTGTCTACACTTGTCACAAATAACGCTATACACCAATAGGAAAATAAAGTTTATAAAAATTTAATGAATTAATTGCATTTTTGATAGTCAACATTCGTAGCATTCGTAGTACTTCGTAGCAATCGTTACTCGTTTCTCTGCTTATCATATCCTAGCAGCGGTATCGTGAAGTTCAAGTAGTATTTTACGCTTTTTGTTTTACTGTATGATTATGGTATTGTATATAGTTTGTTGACTATTTTATAACAACTAGTAAATTATTCAATTATAGTAGCTTTTATGAGATCGACTTATTAGCAATTTTTTATATCGGTTTTATTACCCAATACATGTAAATATGTACATGATGAAATATCAAATCTTAGCTGAATTGAATTTAAAGTTTCCAAAAAACTTAAAAAAAGGCCCAAGTGCGCCTCTCCCTAGTCTCTCCTCCTAGAAATAGGGAAGGTGGCCGCTAACAACGAAAGAAATGCTTACACCGGTTTTCTTTGAGGCCGCGGTTTCACTCCGGTCTAGCTGGCCAAGGGGAAACGGTCAAGCCATATACGAGTATTTTGACTAACATGTAGAGTTTGTAAAGTTAGAGCTTGTAGAGTTAAGGCGTGTATAGAACTTTTTGACAGTGCGAGCCATATATATGGTTCGTCTTGGAAACATTTTACATGAAAATGTTTTTGATGGGCTTTGTATTACACATCATCAAAACATCTACCATTCCTATTATAGACGATGCTGATTAATATGTCCGAAGCCCTACGAGGTATAGCTTTGATACAAATCTGACTTTTAAAAGTTCATATGTATATTAGCTGTTACAATTTAACTTATCTTAAATTTATTTTCTCGTACATTGTGTATGTAAACAATGTTCATAGTATGACAGATGGTCACTCATCTCATAAAATAATAAAGAAACCTTAAAATCCAACAATAAAATCAAAGCGTTCAAGTTGCCCGCCGCTTTCCACATAATTTGAGCATCCCTTCGAGACAACTTTTTTCATCACTAAGAGTGAATGAAATCAACATTCGTTCCTCGCTACAATCGTTTGAATACTTTTTCATTCAGAAGATTTGATAACTCGACTGGATATAGATGGGAAACGAATTAACGGTCATATGATTATTGATTATAAGCTAGTACACAAAAATTTGTTTTTTTTTTAAAGGTTCAATATTCCTTCTTTTTTCTAATAAATTGTATGAAAATAATATGCTACACTTTGCTGTTCCTCATAATAATATAAAATCAAATCTTTGAAAGATACTAAAGCATCCGAAATCGTAAGAACGTAAGTAACAGCTGCCTTTTTGAAACTTTTTTAATTTGCTGGTTATTCTACATGCATTGTCAAAGATTCTTATCATCCAGAAAAATAAGCATTAGGTATATTGATTGATGAAAACAAACTAGATAACAGATATATACCTATAGCGAGCTACACCTCCAACTAAAGTTAGTACTATATACGTTGAGTTGTTCCCGATCTTAGGCAGATCATAAACATAATTGAAATTGTAATCTAGTTAAGATTGCAGTTATATTGTTTTTTTTAGTTTGCCATTACGCTATTTTGCTATAGAAGTAACTTAGTCCGTTTTCTAGTAGAGTACTACGTACTCAAATACTCGGTAAAAAAGTGAAAAACAAGAATCTTTTTTAATGTATAGAATTTCATATTGTCTATTTCTCTTTAATAAGAAATCAATATCTGCAATGCAGGTACTTGGTTAACGAAATTGAAGATACATATAACGTATCACCATAATCACCAATCTGCCTGGAAATCTTGTTGATTAATATAATATGAGCTGCGGATCGCTTGTTGTGGCGCTCCGCAAGGGTGGAAGCAGACGTTTATGGGCTGACGTGAACTAACGAACCGGCGCCGCCAAAATTTGAAATTAATTTTAATACAACGCGAACGTAATTCTAATCTTCGAACTGGTCTATGACTTCTGTGTTAGAACCTTATTTAATGTTCCTTTTAAATCTTACAATCACTAAAATTCGTATGAATAGCGTCAATAACTAAAACTATGCACCATATAATGTATTTATGTTTTTAATAAATTTTATTGCCCTTGACATTCATAAACAGCATAAGTAATATAAAGACCCACAAATAACAATAAATAGTTTATTACTTTCAAACGCACTTAGTATGTGCCAGGTACAGATGAGCGCTAATAAGGCTTGCTAATATAGTACATATTATTTACAAATACGTGTACACTTGTGTCTCGGTAAGTGTGTTCTAATGTATGTTATGTAGTATAGAAGCCAGGCGCGGGTTATCATGCAGATTGCGGCGAATCAATAGGGGCGCCTCGGCCACTGACGGCGGATGACGATCAATAGCGTCCCAGCGGAGCTGTCTCCGCATTAAGGGGCTTCCTCGAACACCCTTACACCTACCCAAAGTCTACCTACACCTCGTACATAGCTTAGCGTTACAATACGACCAACGTTGCTTCTGTTTGTATGAAAATTGTGAGAATTGATTTCACGGCTGATGAGTTATTGGATGTAACATTTTCTGGTAAAGAATTCTAAGAATATTTCGACGATGAAATTACTTAATTAGTTATTATAAAATATAAGGCATGACTAGTTAAAGTATTTTAAAAATGTGATGCGCATAGCATTTCAAACGCAACGAAGTTTTTGTATGCAGTACGATAGATACAGGTGGCTCATTGTTTTAGGTAATTTTACGTTTAATTTCGTTAATGTCACTATGAGATTGCTCGTTTAAAGGCAAAAACTGTAAAGACGTAATGTGTTGGTCAGATCAATAAATTCAATTCACTTAGGAAACAGAAGATAGATATATATATATAGTGAAAGCCTTTTTCTTAATTTTGTAATGGTTTATTCACAATTTATTATGTGAGGCAACTTGAGAGATTAACCACCATTTATTACATCTTTAAAACTGTGGTTAGTACTTGTAAGTGCCGCTTACAGAGTATTTATATTAATCATATTGAAGTCTTATTGTATAGAAATTTAATGATAACAATTCACGTTTCAGGAAAATGTATACAAGCAAATTACCTACTTTGTACAGTTTTTTACAGTATTGCTTGGATAAGTAACTCGCATTTAAGTTTCATATAATATAATAGTATAGAAATATTAGTAATACTTCTTTTTTTTAGTTATGGCGGTACTATTTTTTTTTCGATTAATTTTATCATATTGGCTTATAGAAAACACGTTACTATAATAGACAAATATATTAGCATAGCAAAAATGTTCAATCTAATAATGATTAAATATACGTCTAAGGATAGTGCAGTGTTAGAAGAGTATCAGTAAAATGCCAACTTTAATATTTAGCGGACACTTACACTCACATACACACTCCACTTATCAGCAACGGCACGACTCAGTATTCATCATTGAGCTTATGCTCTTTCCACACGCCCGTCTCCGTACGGTTCATTCACCGTCGCCCTGCGCACCACACGCCGACGCCTAGCTGGCTACTTTCCTTACAGACTTTAACTCTTCCTACCCGTTAAACAAGAGATGAAAGCACTAAAACCTTGAGAAGTAAAATTTAATCGTTATGCTTAATATATTTCAATGAGTTTGAGTATTTATGAAACTAACTCTAGCTTCTTAAAAAAAAACTAGTGATTAATCCATGGTTTTAAACATATATAATAGTACGGTTCTAAATTAAATGTTTGTTTTTAAAAGCATTTCTCTATAGGTTTTTCTGTTTCCTTGATATGAGTGTAAAAGTTTAGAATTCTGTTTTACCTTAAATGAGATGAGCCAACTGTGAAAAATCGGTGATTTATTTTTTGATTTTTTCGTACGTACTACACTAACAACGCGTGAGTAAGGAGTTAAGCTTTTTTTTTTTTATTTTTCCGTGCGGAAATCCCCTCGGATACCACCTGTCGGTGGCATAAAACCGCACGCCGTCTCGGGTACTAATAGCCGAGGAACCAGGTATACCCTAGAAAGGAAGTCCCTGGTGCCCCGACATACCTCAGGTCATCTACAGACGAGTAAACGACCCAAGTGTGGGAACCCCATGTTCCCTGTGCTCCCTGGAAGCGAGCGCGCTTCGCAACGCGCTCGCCGCTACCCCGGCCTGCTTCTGCTAGGGTGACAGATGACCTCACCTGTCGCCCCCAGGCCTGCGCTTATGGAGGACGGAGGTCGTTTTGCGACCTCCGGCGCCTGAGTCGCCTGCGGTACCTGGCCCGAGTCCTAAACCTCTCCCGGTCCAGCTCCGCCGTCTCCTTCGCGAGCATAACTTGCTCGCAGAAGGAGACGGCAGAGTTCCACGCACTCTCGCTCCGCACGATAGCCGCAATCAGGCTATCGAGCGAGAGAACTCCCACTCCGATGGCCGCCACGAGGTCTCGCCTCTGCTCAACCTACGCCGGGCACTCTGCCATCGTGTGGAGA